CCTGGCCAGCCGGGAATTAAACCCACACTGCAGAGGCTGCGAACACCTTCATAGCACTGCGCTCAACCTGCTGCGCCACCGGGGAGGCCCTCCATTTAAAGGTTTTTAAAGTAAATCTATTTGAAATTTTTAAAGTTCATCAGACATCTGATGTACTTATATTCACTCCCGCCCCACTTTTTTTAATCCATTGGGAAAATAATCTCTTTTAAATACCCACCTAAACAGTAGCATCATTCCCTCACCAGTATAATTTCACAGTGAACTAAATGGGATGTGGTAAATTTAATTTATCCGTTTCTTTTTATATACTGGAATTGCTTTGGAAAACCTCCGAGAGCCTTGACATATTCACATCTTTTCTGTAGAAGAATGGCTTCATCCACAGGGAGGAAAGGATATTTTTCTTCCTCTTGAAGGGGGTTCATTACATTGTTTCTCATGGAGAAGATGGTTCTTCCTTGGAGAGAAGTTGGTTATGAAAATGTGTCAACACTTGTGGTAGGAACACAGAATTCAGGGTGGTTTGATCCATCCTCCTTCTGTATCAGTACTTCTTTTTTTAAATTTTTTTTAAAGGTTTATTTATGCATACAAGAACTGGGGTACAGGCCAGAGGTGCGGGGTGGGGGTGGGGCAGGGGCCGTGAGAGGATTCACCAGAGACAGAGTGGGGAACAGAACAGGCAGACTGACTGAAATACACTGCTGAGGGGAGCAGGGGGTGATACAGGAGAGGTCTGCTGCGCCATGTGGGTAGCTCCCTGGCTGGCTGGGGATGGAACTCATGCTGCAGAGGCTGGTGATAGCTTCACAGTGCTGTGCTTAACCCCTTGCGCCACCACAGAGGCTCTGTAGCAGTACTTCTAAGAGGACCAGTAGATGCCTGTGGCAGACAGTCCAGCAAAAATTGTTAGAATATTAGGGCATAGACAGGGCATTCTTTATTCTTAGACATTTTACAGTATTTTTTTTAATTAAAAAAATATTTTTATTCCTCTATCTCAGGTTGGCAAATTACAACCCAGGCCAAGATTAATTTTTACATTTTTAAGTGGTTAGGAAAAAAAACAACAACTCAAAAGATCAGTGTTTTATAACATGAAAATTTTATGAAATTCAAACTTCAGTGTCCATAAAGTTTTATTATAGCACAACTGGGATCGTTTGTCTTTGTATTGTTTATGGCTGCTTTCCAGCTTTAACTGCAGAGTTCAATGTGGATTGGGTTGAGTGATAGTTTCTTTATATTCGTGGAGCATAATTTGTAGTATTTTCTTTTGATTTAATTAAGTGATCAGTATTTGTTCATATTAAAAGCAACAGTGGGTATGTTTGTATTGCATTTTCTTATTTTCTTCCTGTCTTGGAGGGCGTTCTAATACACATGCTTAGTCATTTTGACAAACTGTCAAATCTTGGAGTGGCTAGTTGGCAACAGAGATTGGCAATTCCCACAGCAATTTGCAAAAGCCATTTTGAGAGGCATGGGATTTTGTCAACAAGCCTCTTCTATTGGAGTAGGTAAGTGAGCTGCTGGGGTGAAAAAGAAGTGGATTTGTTTGTAGTATTAGCTTCTTACATCTACTTCATATGACCTTAGGCAAATAAATCCCTTGACCTCATCTCTAAAGCTGTAGTAATACCCACCACAGCCAGAGGGCTGCTGGGAAATGACATGAAACCAGAATGTGGGTTGTGCTGCTGTATGCATTGTTGCCTAGTTCATGTTGACTGGCAGGGCTTTACCTGCCTATTAACTAATTGTTTTTGTGCCTTAAATTGTGTTGACACAGAATGGTGTTCTTGTAATTCACCTGATGTCACTCCTGTCTGCTTCTCCAGGAAAGAACAAAAGTATCACTTGACTTGTGTTTTTGTGTGTTGTTTCTGAAGTTGATTGATTTTAGGAGATGCCAGTTTATTGATGCCTGCCTATTCAGGCCTGACTTCTTTTTTAAAAAACTTTTTTATTAAACTATGCAAAATTAGCCAAAGTAGATAGTTGGGTTAAAGAAAATGTTTAAATTAGAAGACATTCGAAGAAATCCAGTATGTCAGCCTGAGATCCTGAAGTAGGCTTCCTCTTCTGTTGGGTCACATGCTTAGTGCTCACTCAGTGCAGTGTTGCATCGCTCTGGGAAGACCTGGCCGACAGTCAGATGAGAGTGCCCTTCAGAAACGCTGAAACTTGAAATTTGGGCCTATACTACACTCTTTTGGAAAAGTGAATTCACAGGTGTACTGTCAGAGTTTTGTTTTTAATCTGCCTTAAAAATACTCTCCCTTGGGCCTCCCTGATGGCAGCACTGTGTCTCAGCACTGTGAAGCTATCTGCAGCCACTCCAGCACTAGTTCATCCCTGGCCAGGGAGGTGACCCACATGGCACAGCAGACCTCTCCTGACTCACCTGCTGCTCCCCTCAGCAGTGTATTTCAGTGGATCCACCTGTTCTGCTCCCCACTCTGTCTCTGGTGAATCCACTTACCCTCCCAAACCTCTGTCCTACACCCCAGCTCTTGTATGCATAAATAAATCTTTTAAAAAGTAAAAATACTCTCCCTGTACCACCAATATTTTAGTTTTGAGGGGTGACTCTAATTTCTATGTAACTACCTTTTAATGAATGTATCAGGAAAATTACCGTTTTCTTAACTCCTTGCCTCTGGATTTCTAGCAGAGGCCTTTTTTCCTCCTTCCCCCTTGTAGTCTCTTGCTTTGGATTCATCCTGTTCCCACTTGATTGTTGGAGGCTCAGCCTGAAGCTTACACCAGGTGCCTTTATGTTTTTACTTTCATCCTGGAATTATATGTAATGGCTTTCTTCCCTTTTAACTTCCTGAGAAGATAAGTCAGGACTGACTTGGAATCAGTACATTGTAAACAGATGCTCCCAGATTTGCTGTCATATGTGCTCCGTACTATTTCCTTATGCTGATTTACACTCTTGCATCGTTACTTTGCTGCTTAAGCAAATTAATTAAAAATGTTATGACTGAGATTTGATGAAATTTTAATTTAGCTATTTCCACTAAATGTTACTCTCTGAGAAATTTTAACAGGAAATATTTCTATTTCCCTAGGCAACTGTCACTGCTACATTGTGGTCTTACTTGTGATAAGTCTAGAAGCAGACTTGGTGGGAGGTGTGAACAGGTGGCACGTATAGGAAACAGGAACTGTAATTGTACAGGTGTAGCCTCCTTTGCAGGTAATAGGATCTGCCCAAGGCTTGTGACACTTGCAAAGGAAGTTTCCTAGGCCACGGTCAGATAGGAGTGAGAGAGGAAAGACATGCATATTGTGAATGTAGCGTTCAATTTTGCTAGAAGTCAAAAGAGGATTTACAACCAGTTGGATGTTTTCATTTGAAAAGCCAAGGATTTTTTTTCTGCTTTTCTGACTTGATGTGTGGATCCTTGAGGATCTCTTGTTTCCTTTCAGTATTTTCCTAGCCTTGGCAAAGATTTGCAGTATTGACTTCTGTTATCTGGAAGGTGTTCAGATAATTAACAAAGGAAATCAATAATGCTCAATGCAGATTCTTTTAAAGGCTGGTTATTTTCTTCAGGGTAGATTGGGCAGAAGGAAGAGGGTTAGCGTGACCTTAGGATGACACCTTCCACCTTTGCTCCTCACTGGTGAATAAGAAAACTGGATGTCTCACTTTCTCCAGTGGCCTGTGGAGTGTCCAGTATTTTTATCTGAAATATTCTATAAATTACCAGATTTGACATGATCATTGAGAGGTTATATCAAAATAAAGGCACATGTGTTTTTAATTAATGTAATCATTGATCAAAATTTTCTTTTGAATTCCATTCCTGTGTGTATTTGTGTAGTCTGGAGGCTGCCCACCTCAGCTTAGGTACCACCTTCCTGTCTAATTAATTTACTTCACCTTTTTTTTTTTTTTTTAAATTTCACCTATCTTGAGTTATTTCTTAGGAGGAAAACATACATATAAACAGATATTTTCTTCCCCAGCATCAGTTTTTTTGTAATTAGAATAGTATCAAAGAATAATTTCTTTGATGAATAACAAAGTAATTTGATGTATAACAATTACTGCCAATAATGATAATTACTGGATCTTTAAAGTTGCAGTTCTATACTTCTGAACATATTCTGTTTCAAGCTAAAATTTAAAGCTTGGAGAGGAAGAGGACCATGATGTTAAAATAAGCTTTTGCTATAGGTGCTGATTGTAGTATCACCTGAGTTACGAGGTACTGAAATGTGGTGGCATCGTATACTACAGTGAACCTCAGGGCAGGTGCCACAGCCCTACCACCTTTCTACACGTCATTTGTTCCGTGACTGGTTAAGCAGCTTAACTTCTTTGGACCTTAGCAGTAAACTGAATGTTGGAAGCTAAGTATCCAGAGTTCCCTGTAGATTTGCATAATCACTGAGAATAACAAGGCATTGTTTTCTGTTCACATTTCTGTATAGTTAGGGAGTGGGGATACCTTGGCATAAAACACAGACCTTTCTCTGGAGCTTTTATGGTGAATGGAAGGAGCCAGACCCAGAGATAAGAGGTTTTTTTTTTTTGTTTGTTTGTTTGTTTTTAAAGATTTATTTATTTATTTATACAAGCACTGGGTACAGTCAGAAGCACGGGAGGGTAAGCGAATTCACCAGAGCCAGAGCGGGGAGCAGAGCAGGCAGAAGGACCGAAGTGCACTGCTGAGGGGAGCAGCAGGTGGCGGGAGAGGTCCTTGTGGGACCCTCCTCCGGTGGCCAGGGAGCAGCCGGGGATCGAACCGGCGCTGCAGAGGCTGTGGGCAGCTTCGCAACCCAGCGCTCAACCACTGCGCCACTGGGGAGGCCCCAGAGATAAGACTTTTTTCATGAATATTGGTGAGCCACTTTGAAATGTCATGAACTTGAAATATATATACATTCCAAATCAAACTCAAGCTAGGGACAACTGCTTGTTCTGGACCTATGACTGATTTTTTTTTTTTTCCCCTCTTCTTTTCTTTTGATTTTAGGAGCTTATTTAATGAAAAGTGCCATAGACTGAAAAACCAAACATGAGAGTGGCAGGTAAGGTCCTTAACTCGGTTAACAATTTTATTTATGTAGAACCTGTTTGTTGAGTAATGACTAAAGGAGATGAGAAATAATCTATTTCAGTATTGACTACCAAGCTGAAGTATAACAGTTAATCATCTTAAGTCATTTTACTTTTTCATGTAATTGGCAGATCATAATTTGAACATGGAGTAAATATTATTAAATACGTTTGTTTGGACACACTTTTGTTGAAATTATGCTAGATAAGCTGTTATGGTTTTCATGTTCATGTTCTTATACATTAGAGGTGATTTTTATTTTTGCTAAAGTTCTAGCTTGAACAATGAATTGTAAAGTTTAAAAGCTTAAGTCTTTCTATGTATGTATTTAAGTTGAAACTAGTGTATGTGAAGGATTCAATAAAATGTGTTTTTGCTTAAGTGACTGTACTTGCTAGTTCAAGTTCAATCTGCATCACTGAGGTTACATGTAAGAACATCTCCTGAGGCAGCATATTGAAGGAATTGAAAAACACCACTTGATGTTCATAGTATTAAGGTAGTTGTCTCCAGACATCATAAAAAGACAGATCCATGAATCACTGGAGGGGCTGATGAGCTCTTCTACCTTTATAGTAAAACTAAGCATGCCCCCTACCCCCATCCTTCTCAAGCACAGCCAAGAAGAAAAGTCAGCTTTACATAGAAATTACTACTAAGAGTGCCCGACACAGGAGAAAGCTTGTACTTCTCAAAAGTCAGGCTAATTTTCCTTTTCATTATATGTTCTCACCTGCACACAAAATATTTTCCTACCTGAAGGAGTAGCTGAAGTCCAGGTGGATGAAGAAACATCTTCATGCTTCAGTCATAATTATATAGAATCAGATACAGGTGACTAAACATGATTATTAAACACAGATTTACTGAGGGTTCATGATGTTTCATTGATATTTGAAAATCTGGATCCCTTGGTCATGAAATTACAATGCTTCCCTTACTTCAGTAGCTGTACAAGTATTGAAGGGAAATATTCTCAGAAGCCAAGAGCTTATTTCTGGCTTAAAAGAATGTTACAATGTCCTTTATTTTATTTTATTTTTTTGTGGGACCCTCACCAGTAGCCTGGGATCGAACTGGCGCTGCAGAGGCTGCGGGCAGCCTCGCAACCCAGCGCTCAACCGCTGCGCCACCAGGAGAGGCCCTGTCCTTTATTTTTTAATGATCTTTGAAGATAATAGAATTGACTATTTATGATCACATGTCTCTAGATGATTGTGGTTATATGAAATAAAGCAAATTTTTCCCTTTTCACATAATTCTACATTCATTTTAGCTGAAATTAATCTTGTCTTCAAGTCCATTTCTCTGATTCTGCCAATTAATACTAAGGTTAATTGATAGGTAATTATTCATTCAGGGTTTATCTTTGGCAGTGTTCCTAGTATAGGTCTTGAGGGGACTACCTTTAATGAGTGAAAAAGGAAGATTATTGCTTTTTAACTAATTGTTGTTTCTAATTAAAATATATGTATATATATATACATGTGTGTGTATGTGTATACTGATTACTTTGAAAAAACCTTACTCTTGCAGTGACATTAATATCTAAAGTTTAGGACATTTGGTGTGTGAAAAATGACACTCTGATTCATACAGTCCATGGCCAGAAGGAAGAGTCTCATGGAAAGTTACAATGGGAGCCTGGGGTGTGATTCTGGACCCTTCCAAGTCCAGAACTAGGTGGTGGTTCTGGACTCGGGGCCCTCTGTAACAGAAGTGCCAGAACTCTGCCAGTATGGGTGCCCTTCTAGTCTCCATCTACCTGATCTCAGGGACCCTCTGCTGGTTCCACGTAATTTCACCACCTCTGACTTTTCTCTTGCTTAGAGCTTTGGTTTCCTCCTAGTTCCTCTGATGGTCCAGTATGAGTGACTAGGTCACAGTTTAATACTCACTTCTGCTGCTGGTTAGTTACCTGACCTTCCACACAAGTGATCTAAATTTTTGCCTTGTTTTCCTTATTTGTAAAATCAAAATAATATCTTGAAAAGCTTTGAAAATGGAAGCTGATGCTTATAAAGCATTTAACTCTGTGGTTGGCACTCAGTAAATGGTATGCATGTGTGTTATGGACACAGATATATGTATGGATACATGGATATGATGCATATAGCTTGTTTAGTGTTGGCTCAGATACAGCTTGATAATGAATTTATATAGAACTTTTATATGTTATTAACTTACTACTTTAAGATTTTGATCTTTAATATATACATTTTTAATTTTCTTACATCATTATTCATTTTTGTACAATATTTGATTTCTCCCCTCAGATGTGGTCCCCATAATTCTCTTATCCCACATCCCCTGTGAACCATCACCCTATCTTTGGTGTTCTTCCCTCCCCAATTTTGACACCTTTCCCTCCCCCTGCCCTGCTCTATGCCTGAGATCTATAGTTCCCCTGCTTTTACTTTTTTTCTGACCCTTTGTTCAGTTTTCTTATATTCCACCTATAAGTGAAACCATCCAATATTTTGCTTTTCCTTCTCACTTATTTCTCTTAGCATAACTCCTCCCAGCCCCATCCATGTTGCTGCAAATGGCATGAGTATCTTTTTTGATCACTGAGTAATACTCCATTGTGTGTATATACCACATCTTCTTGATCCAGTCATCTGTTTTGGGGCATTTGGGTTATTTCCATAGCTTAGCTATTTTAAATAGTGCCGCAGTAAACATAGGCGTGCAGGTTTACTTTCAAATTAATGTTTTTGTGTCCTTTGGGTAGATTCCTAGGAGTGGAATAAGATTTCATTCTTGAACAGCGAAAGTTTCATGTTCTGCTTTAAGGGACAGGGAAAAGTTCTCTCTATTTGCACATGCCGTTATTGCTAGAAAATGAGATGTGAAGACACTAGTGATATGGAATCTTGGTCTTAGTGATCAGGAATATGCCAACTGTGGCCATTCATCGCTGTAGCAGTCACTTGTTGAGAGCATTGCTGTACATAAGGTGCTCTGCCTGATGCTGTGGGGAAAGAGCTCAGAGCCTAATGGAAGTTTGCTCACTTTGGCACTGAAAAGCACGTAGTTGCTTTTGAAAACAGGAACTACAGTCTTTGAACTGGAGAAGGTAGGAGGTGAGGAGGATGGGGATTGATTAATGATAATGCTTCTTCATTGCCACCTCATTTCTACATTTAAAGCATTTCTAAATAGAAATGAGAGGCTCTGGGAAATGATTGCTTTCAGCAGCATCAACCTTTCTGCAAATCACTTGTCTTTTCTCTGCACACTCCCCCCATCCCTCCCCCAGGATGTGGATCTAGTCTCTGTAGGCTGATGAACTCGAATGAGTGTAGTGCTTTTTTACTCTTAGCCAGTAAGTTGGGTGTGGGTAGTAGCTTTTCAGGAGAGTGTGTGTGGCTTGGTATTAGAGTGTGTCGTTGCCAAGAGCTAGGCTCTGTCAGGATTCCTGAATTCTGTCCTTGTGCCCCTGCTGACTCATCTGTGATCTTAGGCAGTTGTTTCCTTAAGGACACTGAGATAACTGCTGATGCCAATCACTACTTGTAGATCAGCAAATTAAACTTTTGTTAAGGTAGTGTTGTTCCTGAATAACCTAAGGAGATGTTGCGGAAATCATAAGAGGAAGAGGATGTTCCTTTACTGTCATTTTCCACTTTCGTACTTTTTCTTCTCTGCATTTGCTTGGCTTTGGGAAAAAACGGCAAATGATGGTTCATATTAAACCATTCATTCATTGGGGCCTCCCCGGTGGCACAGCGGTTGAGCGCTGGGTTGCGAAGCTGCCCGCAGCCTCTGCAGCGCCGGTTCAATCCCCAGCTGCTCTCCGGCCACGGGAGGAGGGTCCCACATGGTGCGCAGACCTCTCCTGCCGCCCGCTGCTCCCCTCAGCAGTGTACTTCGGTCCTTCTGCCTGTTCTGCTCCCTGCTCTGGCTCTGGTGAATTCTCTCACCCTCCCGCGCTTCTGACTGTACCCAGTGCTTGTATAAATAAATAAATCTTAAAAAACAAAACAAAACAAAAAAAAAACATTCATTCAATCATAGTAAACAGTGCTATTTTGAAGGCACTCAGAAATGGCTAACCATATAAAGGGATAAAAGACTTAGAGTCTCTGCACAGAGCTGACATGTGACCATATTGTGAAGCATATCAGAGAGGCACCGAACCCAGGCTCAGGAGACTTGAGTAAACCGGTCTACCTCATGAGGGGGAATGCTTTATTGATCACCATGACAGGGAATGACAGGGAGACTTGTGTCATGCCAAAGCTCGGTTGGTTCATAATAGGACAACAAACCTGTCACATTTCACTCGAGAACTCCTCGCTTAGTGCACTTCCTGGTCTGCTGCCTTCGAGTCTCCACATAGTCCTGTCTTTTTGTATTATCCCTGCACAGTATTGCCCTTTTTGTTTGAAAAGGATTAAGACAGCATAGCAGCATACTTGGTGGTGGTGGTGTACCAGCCACCATAATTTTGTGTAGTCAGTCAGCAATTGAGAGCAGGTCAATTTTTTTTTTTTTTTTGCATGTAAAAGCAGGCCTGTGTCTAGACTGCTAGCCAATCTGATAGTTCTTTGATCAGGGAAATTCCTTATTTTGATAGATTGTGGCGTAGTTTTTATTGTAATTCAGGTAAACTTAACATCCAGTAGATAAAAAATAAATTTATTAGGATGAAGATGTTTCTTCATAAATTTATGTTTTGCATAGAAATATACAATAATTGATTCTGTTGAGTTCATCAGCTCATGCTGAATTATTTCTGTTCTTCAGGTGCTGCAAAGTTGGTGGTAGCTGTGGCAGTATTTTTACTGACATTTTATGTTATATCTCAAGTATTTGAAATAAAAATGGATGCAAGTTTAGGAAATCTATTTGGTAAGTTTTAACTTTGTTCCTTTCTTAAATCTTATTTTATGTGGTTGTCTTAAATTTTTACTAGTTATCAACTTTGAATCACTCTGCTGTTAGTCTGTCTAGAAAAGAAAATGTAATTATACCGGTGAGGGTTATTCATTAGAATATTCTACAGTACATAATAGGAAGTCTTAGAATTCAGTAATAAGGCATGAATCTGCTCTTCAACATTTGAACATATTTAATGAGATCTATTTTAAGCACTCTTAGGAACATTAATCGTGTGTTCTAAATGCACATTCTAGGAGAATCACACCTAAGTTTAACTTGTTTCTCTATTTGAGTTGCCTGCAGGAAAACTTGGAAGCAAGTCTAGTCCTCATTTAGTGAGTCAGTAGGAGTCATGATAATGTATTTTAGATTCTAGTCCCACAAAGTCATCTTGTTTTCCTGTTCCCTTGTTTTCCTTCTGCAATATTTTCTTTTTATCCATTTATTTAATGTTACCAAATTATGAACGCTCCATTACAAGCTACCTGAAGTCAGCTGTTAGTAATCAGTAAGTTAATAAAATAAGTTAACATTTGGAGTGTTTGAATAAACTTCGAAGCATTTTTTTAGGTATTGAAAAAATGACTCCGAAAGTGAGACTGTCAAACTGTTTATAGGTTTTGTGGGGTCTGGCTTCTTATCGCTCTTATGCCAGAACTCCAGAGACAAGAGTTGTTGGAAGGAAATCAGGTTAAATCAGGTGTCAGCAAACCTGACGACACAGTGGGCTACTGTCAACAAAGGTCACCTCCCCAAATTGGGGGAAGGAGTAAGGTAGTACTACAGAGAGGGGAGATAAAAGGATCTGTCTGCAGGATTTCAGAGAACCAGGCAGGTTTGCCCAAGAACTGCATTCACGCCCACCCTCACCCTCTTTTCTTCCAAGTTTGGTCTTGACTGGATCTGTCTTGGTGCTGGTGGACCTGCATTTTACTATAGTAATGAGGCTGTGGCTTAATCAGTGTCTTACACCTTCATCTTAGTATCTGCTGTTTTGCCTGATTTTGTCTTCAAGAAAAGATAAGCAGGAGCAGAGCACAGACAACAAGCACGAGGATAAGGAACTTCTAGTTACTAGGCCAGTGACAGATCGCTCCTCTCAGTCAGCTGCTGCTCATTTCTGTGAGGCAGTGAGTGGAGGTCCATCTTTTGGAACTATTTCCTGCTGAGTGGTGCTGGAGGTTTAGGGGGAGGTCCATGGAGGGGAGGCATCTTTCCCTAGCTAACTTGAGATGTCACAGAGCTATCACTGGGTTATCTTCCTAGTTGTTTGAAAATTTTGATGTCTCTAGCCCTTTGAAGATGAGGGGAGCTAAGTAATTCAGCAGACAAGGGCCACCAAAGATCAAAAGAAGTAAGCGTATCCTAGTAGCAGTGACCATCTGCTGAGTAAGGATCCCTTCCATTAGGGGATTCCATTTCTCCAGTTAGGAAAGACTTTGTTATTCATAAGAGTCCAGAGCAAGGATCCAGTTTTTTTCAAGGTCTTTAAACAATTTGAAACTAAATGGAGTTAAAGTAGTGATCTAGTTTTGGAATCCAAGGTGTGGATTTAGAAATTTGGAGGTTTTTTTGAACAGCATTCAGTATATCTATAGTTAGTTGTTTCCTTAGGTTTTGAAAGTTCAAAGCTATAATTTCTTTAAATTGGGTCTCTGCCCCCTTCTTTCTCTCTTCTAGAGTACCCACTACGCTTATTTTCTTCTTATGGGGTCCGATATTTCTTGTAGTGTTCCTTTGTTTTATTATTCTTTTAGCATTTCCATCCTTGATTCTAGGGCTCCTGTATGTTGTCTTATTGTTTTTTCTGGTAGGGGTGCTGTGGCTTTAGTTTTGCTTATCATCTTTAATTTGGAGTAAAATCTACGTGGGTCAGTCCCTCAACACCAGCAATGACTTGGTATAATTTCTGTTGAGCAAGACTTAGTTGTCCCTGGGCGGGCAGTTTATCAAAATCTCCCTTTTCTACCATGTTATAGAAAGGCCGACTCTTACCCAGTGCCCTCATGTCTCCTCCACTGTTGTATGCAAAGTGGCAGAGTCTTTTTTTTTTTATTTGTTTTTAAGTCACGGAGATACATTCACTTGTCCAATTGGAAGAGACTGAACAGACAGAAAAAAAAAAGGATCCTTGAGGGAAGGGCAGAATAGGACCCTTGGTATAAATAGGGAATTGCTTTGGGGATTGGCTCACTGCTTAGGGAGGAGAGCACAGAGGCAGTGAGGCCACTCTGCTCACCCTAGTTTGAATCTTCCTCTCTTGCCTGGGCTGTTCCTGTAAACATGACGGGGATGTTACCCGTGTTTCACATCTTGGCTATTTGCTGCTCATCTCGCCTCTGCCAGTGACTCTCTCAAAACTCGTGAACATTAGCACTTTGGATTACAGGAGAGTAGATTTTACTCTGCTTTACTTGGGGTGGCATTCAGAGCCTCCAGTGTGCCTTTCTTCTCCCTTCGCCGCCCCTCCCTCTGGGTCTCACACTCCATGTGCCAGTCTGCCTGCTGGTGGCTAGTGACACACCGTCCTGTCCTTTCAAAGCTCAGCCTTTGGTCCTCTGTTTCCCTAGCCTGCACGTCTTTCTCATCTGGCCATCTGTTCTTCCTTCTCATTTTTGAAAAGTGTGTCAGTGCTCCTTAGAGAAATTAAACCGCCTTCTCTCCCTATTGAAATGTGTTGCTGTTCCCCGCCGGACTGTTAGTTCTAATGTGTAGGACTTCTATCTCAATTTGGTACTGATTCTGTCCGGCCTTACATTATAGAATTTCTTTTACTGTTTTTCATGCACCCATTCCCCTTCCCAGAGAATGAATCTTGAGAATAGTAATATCTTGGTCCTTGGCCTTGTAAATAGTAGATGCTGATTGAATGGAAAATAAGGGTAGGTAATCGAGAATGAGAATTTTTACATGGGGTAGAAGAATACTTTATGTTTCACTAAATCTTTATCCTTATCCTCAAATATTTTTGGTATATATATATATATATATATATATATATATATATACACACACACACACACACACACACATACAGTTATGGTGTAAAGTTTGCTTTTGACTTTATTCCATATATTTAACTTGTTCCATGTTACAGCATTGCCTTTGTGAGGTCAGAGGCACGTAATCTGAGTATTCTATTGTATTAATGAGCCTTCACAAACTTGGCCGCTTTCCTCTTTTTAAAACATTTACATAGCCTTTTTCAGCTTTAACTTTCTGTTCTTCAGTTTGAGTACTGGACTTATAGGAAATTTGCAATTATCTACAATCGTACAGAACTAAAAGTAACTATTTATAGTCAAACAGCTGGCAAACATTTGCAGACACTGCATGCTTATTAGCCAAATCAGGAAATGGTTGTTCACAATACTATTGGTGATTGGAATTGTAATCTCCTGGGCTGGCACCAGATGTTAATGCTTTTTAAAAACTCTGAATGTAAGATGGCCAGGTTGAGATCTGTTGCAGTCAAGTTAATATTTGGTCAGAAGACTCTCACTCTCTTCAACTTAGGACTTGTAAAACTGTAGGTGATAACTTCAGCTTTTTTCTGTTCCACCCAAAGCATTTCTATTTTAGAGAAGTCAGAGCTCCCTACCACCACCCTCCTCCCCCCTTGTTCTCCCACCACCTACCAAAATCTTAGCCTCACCACTCCGATAGGGTGACTCTCGAGGACCGCACGCGCATGTGTATGGCACACTGGACAGCAGCAACAACTTCTGAATGTTCACCGTTCAGCAGCAACCTGATGTTCACCACGTCTATATTTAAAGTCGTTTACAGGAGGGCCTCCCCTGCTGGTGCAGCGGTTGAGCGCTGGGCTGCGAAGCTGCCCGAAGCCTCTGCAGCGCCGGTTCAATCCCTGGCCACCAGGCGAGGGTCCCACATGGCGCGCAGACCTCTCCTGCCGTCTGCTGCTCCCCTCAGCAGTGTACTTTGGTCCTTCTGCCTGCTTGCTCCCCGCTCTGGCTCTGGTGAATCTTCTCACCCTCCCGCGCTTCTGACTGTACCCAGCTTATGTAAATAAATAAATAAATCTTTAAAAAAATAAAATAAAGTCATTTAGAGGAGAGTTTGCAGGGTAACTTTCTAATTGGGATTTAAATTTATAGTAACTAAAAATGTAAAAGTAAAACGCTCTGTCGATAGCCCCCCCATAAGTCCTTTTTACACAATTGTTTACAGTGAAACGTGTAGCCTGAAGTTACTTTCTCCCTTTTTCTCTAAAGCAATAGCCATGTGTTATTTATTGTATTTTGAGCTGTTATTCAAGTACTTTTTTTTATAGCACTAAATAAGTTAAAAAGTGATACTTGCCAGTAGTCTTATTCTTTCTAACAAAGATAACTTTCTTCTTTCTCAGCAAGGTCAGCATTGGACACAGCTGCACGTCGTGAGTATTCTATCTCAATATCTTGCAGATGGTTTATTCTGTTCTATTTTAGGATTATGAGAACTTATACTTGAACAATGGAGAAAGTTCCAAGTGAGCAAAACTGATTTAGAAATTGCTCTTTAAAGTTATAAGGATGCTATTTGATTAGACAGCCCAGTGTTCTTGTTACTTATTCATAATGGATATTTTGTTTCATTACTGTTTTTTAGCGTCAGTGTTATTAATGCGGAAAGTGTGTGCAGGGAGGAGAATTTCTGCTTAGAATTTTATGTGACAGTTACTCCGGGATGCATTAGACTTTTTACTGTCCCTGTGGGTATCTGCAGCTATGCATGGATGGGTTAGAAATTCAAAGCAACAATACAAAACCTCCTCTGTCCTGAATTTTAAAAACAATCTTAAAAAAGAATTAGATAAAATGTATTTACTGGCATCAGAATCATATTACTTGATGTATTTATGTCAGTTACTAGCTTGTTTCCAAAGAGATTTTGGGTTTTGTTTTATTTTTCTTTGCTGTTGTTTTAAGGTTCTTTGAAACCCTCTAGGGAAAACAGGCCATAGCACATATTTTAAGATATGTGTATATTGGTGTTTTACATAATGACCTTTGGTTTGAGGCATGAAACAAACTGCAGTCTATTAACATTTTTTAAAAAATATTTTTTTCTCCCCTGAAGCTACAAAGCCTCCCAGATATAAATGTGGAATTACAAAAGCTTGCCCTGAGAAGCATTTTGCTTTTAAAATGGCAAGTGGAGCAGCCAATGTTGTGGGACCCAAAATCTGCTTGGAAGACAATGTGTAAGTATTTGTCGATTTGGACCTAACAGGCTTGTTATTAAATTATAGTATATTGACTCTGCGTGTAATGAATCCTTTGAGAATGTATTGGGCAAGCTTCTATCAAACAAAAAGTGATAATTTGGTTTTCACCATGCAGTTATTTCCTCACTCACTTGAGTTTTCAAGTCCTTAAATTCATATTGAAGAATGACATAAAAACATAGACTTTATCCAGCTTTGTATAGAGAGGAGGGGTCTCCTGAGTGGATTCTCTATCTGCACTGACCCATAGGGTAACCATAGAAGCATGTTATTTAATTTTGATTATTGAATAATAGGGGAAAAGTTAAATTATTTACACTAATTAAAAAGCTTAGTTCCTCTTTCATACTGGCCACATTTCAAGAGCTCAATAGCTACAGGTCACTTGTGCCTGGTGAACTGAGCTGTGTGGATAAACAATTCCATCACAGCACAAAGTTCTGATTGACAGCACTGCCCTAAATAGTAAGCTCCTTATCTTTTAGACCAATAGCTTTCATTTTCAGTATTTGAAAGCTGCTTGTGGAAGTGCAAAGTAATTCATTAATATTACCCCAAGTCTGCTGTGACACAAAATTTGCCACAAAGTTGGATGGTTTTCCCATGTTGAAATGCTTTGCAAAGTAGAGTTTCTAGGTTGTTCCGTTTCATATCTCAGTGGCAACTGCCACTTATAACTTGAAATTTCCGCCTCTGAGGTTGCAAACCCCACTTTTAGTTGTTGCTTGTTGTGTCAGCAACAAAGAACCAGGAGCCGTGGAGCAGGCTGTAGCCTGCAGGGTGCTGCTCAAAGCAAGATCCTAGCCTTTTTATTGACAGGGAAAAGGGTGGATCAAATTGAATACTAGATTTTTTGGGCTTTAGTGAGGGTGAGTCTGCTGATACACTACAGACCCCACCCATGACTCCAATCTTACTAACAAGGTGGTCCACTGATCAGTCCCTGGGGTGCAAAGCACATCAGTCACCACCCCCTGCCTCCCAGTCATACCTCAGGATGTATACTTATTGCCCCAGGGTGATCAAACACCCTGCTCTTGTCTAATTTGAAAGGAGCCTTGTTTGAAACACCCACAGTTGCTGTTGATTCAGTCATTTAAATATGGATGGCTTCAGGCATTTCCATGTCATCTTTGTGCAGGGGCTGTGCTAATCTTCTCTGTATACTTCCAACTCTGGTATGTGTGTTGCCCAGGTGACCTCCATTTGGTTGCTTTTGATTTTGCTCTTTACTAGAAAATTAGATGTATGAGCTTATTTAAACTTTATGTAAAATAATGAATGTGCCATTCATTAAGAGAAAGAGTAAGGCAGTTTTACAAAAGGAGGAAACTAGGCAATGTTTCCCAACATTTTTTGTCTTTTTACTGTGGAAGCTCTTAAATTATTCTACTAACCCCTTTGTCAGTGAGCTCTGGGCAGGTTGTCTGACCTCTCAGAGTAGCACTTTTCTTGTAGAATCAAACGGTGGAGTGAGGTTTTCCTTAAGGTCTTTGTGCATTTCCTTTCTTTTGCCTTTCGCTAATAATCCATTATTAATCCAGTGTCTTCTGATTTCTTGTTATAGTAGTCCTGTTTTACTGAATTAAATAATAAAGTACTTAGATTAGAACTTTGTAGATCTCACATTAAGTAGTACCTGTCCTGTTGACTTAGAACCTCCTCTTTCCATCTTTTTATCTTATTTGGCTAAAGAGGCTCCACATTTGATTCTAAGCAATGGCAAGGAAGCTCTTGGAATGACTAGTCCACAGGAAATCATCTTCAGAGACCTTCTGTCCCCTTGAAGCACATTAGTTTTTAATATAAAGGAGAGCTCAGACTCTACTAGCAGGTTTTCCCTTTGCAGATTATATAGGTCAAGCAGAAATGAAAAGTGTATGTAGGCAGTGGAATCTGGTAAAGTAAATGCTGGGCTCAGAGCCAGAGAATTTGTTTTTCGCTTGGTACGCATGTCATGTAGAATTTAGAATTTGTATTTCAGTTTCTTTAACTATAAAATTGAGGCAGGCCGCCTATCCATTCTCATTTCAGGAATCATTTCTGCCATTCCCATGAGAGATTAAGTAATTTATGGGATTTTATAGCGAGGTTTCAGATCTTGAAACATAGTCCCCAAATAAGGACCAAATAATTAGGCTTAGGATCACCATTGGAGAAATTGCTGGGACCAATTCATGTGTAGGGTATTTTGTTTCTATATGGAAAGTAAATTTTTAGAAGTATGATTTTTCTTAGCATCATTTGTTCACATATTCAACTTGTATTTATTGATCATAGTCCTTGCTCTCATGGAACTCAGTCTAGTAGGGGTGACATATTTAAGAAGTAAATACAAATAAGTAATTATTAGTTGTGCAGTATGCTGTGTAGAGCAGCAGCGTGTGATGAATACTGGTGAGGGGAAGCCAGGAGACGTTGAAGTGTCTCACTGTAGATCGAGCCAGGGAATAGCTTCTCTGACACAGTGATGTTTGTTCTGAGAACTAAAGGATAAGAGGAAGAGAGAGAGGCAGGTGAAAAACATCTCTAGATAGAAGGATGAGCATGCTCAGGCCCTACTAGGGATAAGAGCAGGAGAGACAGGAACGGGGACCACGCCAACAGGTAGGGATGTGTAGGCTGTGCAGGTTGAGATTTTTTTTTTCAGTGCATTGAGAAGTTACTGAAGCTTTTCAAACTCTGCCATGTCATTATTTCATTTATTGAAAAAAATTATCTGCTGTTTGAAATGATTTGGGAAGTAGAATAGAGAGAACAATTGGAAAACCATTGCAGTTGCTGTGCATGGCCTCCTTTTTGGTAACACTTCTTTTGAATATATGTTCACTAAAATACATGAGTAAATATTTTATTTTTTACATGTGCTCTAGTATGTGCAACTTACTTTGAGGCCACTAGTCTAGACCAGTGCTTCTCAGCAATTAAGGTGCAGGATTATTTTATCATCGCATAATGATTATTTCATCATTGTTTCTTGCCATTGTCCTGGTAGAGTCACACCTCCACCATCAGTAACCCCTGGCAACCACTGATCTGTCTATATATCATTTTGATGTTTTGAGGATATTATATAAGGGGCACGAGGGACATTTGTCAAAGTCTAGAGACATTGGGGTTGTCAGAACTGTGGGTGTTCTTGATAACATCCCATGGTGAGTGCATGAGCTCAGAACCAGAACCAGAGAATTTGGTGTTAGTCATTGCACAGGAATTATCAGGGTCTTGATATCATTATAAACTGGAAGCCTAATATGAATAAAAGATAATAGTTGAGATTAGTGTTGCAGTCATGATTTAAACGACAAGTAGAGGCAGTCAGATTACATTATGGTAAGATGGATTTCACATTTATTAGTTTAAAATTAAGTCCTGGGTTTAAGCATCTGGAGTCATACAAAACACGAATTTTAGCTTTTTCTTTTGTATTAGAGATCCCATGGAATTTATATTATGTGAGATACAGCTTTTATTTTAGGCATATATTCATTTGATTTCCATTTATATGGAGCTGATATTAAGAATAATGTTGCATCTTGATGTTTAGTATAGGAGTAGACAGAGGACTGTTTTGAGGGTTTATTGTTTTATTTTTTATTTTTTTTTTTTTATAGAGGCATGTTTTTTTATTTTTATTTATTTATTATATTTGTTTGTTTTGTTTATACATGCACTGGGTACAGTCAGAAGCGCGGGAGGGTGAGAGAATTCACCAGAGCCAGAGCGGGGAGCAGAGCAGGCAGAAGGGCTGAGGTACACTGCTGAGGGGAGCAGCGGGTGGCAGGAGAGGTCTGCGCACCATGTGGGATCCTCCTCCGGTGGCCGGGGAGCAGCCGGGGATCGAACCGGCGCCGCAGAGGCCGCGGGCAGCTTCACAACCCAGCGCTCAACCGCTGCGCCACCGGGGAGGCCCGGGTTTATTGTTTTAACATTTAGGATCCAAATAGTATTTTTTGACTGTAAGGGCAGGGCCAGGAGGTTAAAGTGAAGGCTGGGTAACCTGGTCATGATCCTGTGTAACCATTTAAAATGTAAAAGCCTTTCTAAGCTCAGTAGTAGTAGTAGTAAAGCAACAAAACAAAAAATAACCAGCTGGCTAAATCGGGACAGTGAGTCACAGTTTGTTAAACTCAGTTCTAATCCCTTTAAGAAGCAGTAGCTAGATTATACAGTAGGTAGAGGATTTGAAACCAAACTGAAGATGTAGAATGTATTGACTACAGTTATTTTCTTTAGCTTTTTGTCTAGGGGTGTAGAGTTGTGGTGGGGGAAACCTTCGGATACACAAAAGATAAGAGAAAATATTACAACTTTGTACATTTAAAGCCTTCAGTGGTTTGTCATTTGCTAGTTAGTTTCCCCTGATTGAATTCTTAAAGATTGATAAGCTGCTGCCCTCTTGTGGGGAGCCTCTGTCATAGTGCTTACTGCCTTTATTTCTTTGCTCTGTGATAGACTTGAGTTTAGCATCTGCCCTGTGCTCTGTGACAAGACATTTATCTTATGTTGCGATTGCTTCTCAGTGTCATTGATGGAGATCAGGGATCTATTACCTCTGTAAAAGGAGGAGAGCTTCCTTCCTCTTTGGTGCAGATTTGTTTGGTTCTCTTATGGCCCACCTCTCACAACTAGTCTTAACATTCACATAAAAAAGTTCTGAGCTTAATCACATGAAAATTCTAGAGACTGACAGATGAAATTTTGAAGGCAGATGAGTGACTAATATTGGTAAATACATAGTTTAATGCTACTAAGCTTTTAAAATTAACTTCTTGCACTGTGCCAATTGGAGTAAAGTTTTGAAAACTTATTTTGAAGTAATTAGAAATCACAGAAGTTGAAAATATTGAACAGAGAAGTCCCATCTCTTTTTCAGCTGGTTTTCTCCATGGTTCGTCTCATGTAATTATACTGCAATATCAAAACCAGCATTGGTGCCATGTGTTTATAGTTCCACATTATTTGATCATGTGTAGATCCATGTAACCAGTACAGCAATTAAGGTGCAGGATTATTTCGTCATCACAAATATCTCTTTCTTGCCACTGTCCTGGTAGAGTCACACCTCCACCATCAGTAACCCCTGGCAACCACTGATCTGTCTATATCATTTTGATGTTTTGAGGATATTATGTAAGTGGAATCATGCAGCACATGACCATTTGATAATTGATTTTTTCCATTCATCATAATGCTCTTGAAATATTGGTGCATATTAGTTTGCTTCTTTTATGTTACTGGGTAATATTCTATGGATGGATGTATCACAGTTTATCATTACCTGTTGTCCTCACCCAAACATTTTCAGTTGTTTCTAATTTTTGACTATTACAAATAAAGTCACAGTGAATAATCACATACAGATTTTTTGCATGGATGTACTTTACGTAATAAAATTCCTAGGAGTTCTGAGTTGTGTGGCAAATGTATATTTAATTTTATAGGAAATTGTCAAACGGTTTCCAGAGTGCCATTTTACATTCCCACCAAGCACTGCACAAGAGATCCAGTTTCTCTGTATACTTGCCAGTATGTTCATTATTTTTATTTCAGCTGGTCTAATACATGTACAATGATATCTTAGTGACTTTTCTTTCCTTTATGGCCAATGATGTTAAGCATCTTTTGATTTATATATATATATCATACACTATATGTAATATGAAATATCTATTCCTGTCTTATTTTAATCCATTGTACCAGTCTCTCTTTTTGCTAAGTTTAAACTATTGATGTTATATATTTATATGTTAAGACTTTAGTGACTGCCATTCTTTTTGTTCTTTCTGATTTTTTTATTTTTTTGGTTTGTTTCTGTTTTTTTTTTTACTACCTTCCTATGATTTGTATTAGCATTTTTAAGAATTTCTGATTTATAGTGTTTTTGAGTGTATCTCAAAAAGTGGTGGTTCTTGATATTTACTATTTCATTCGTTATAGAAAAAGTTTGCCAGCTCAAAATTTGGACTTGAGAAAGTGAGGGCAAAAATATTAATTATACAGATTAAATTTAAAATTATGTCATGCCTGTACTTATTCTGCATAGTACAAAAAATTGAAGAAATTTCCATTATTTGGAAACTTAAGTGATTTAACAAAAACATCACATCCTTGACAACTTAGATCTTCATTATTTGAGTTTTTCTTTACTTTCTCTTACTCTTTAAATGAAACGTATTCCAACATTTGTGTTCAAACCATGTACTCATTCATCACTTGTAACTGGAGGTTTGGTACAGAGAGTTGTTCTGTGAAAATTAATGAACACGATTGTGTGAAAAGCACTTGGCTGTATAGAATTTATAGTGAAGTATTGTAGCTTGTGTGTTTGTGAAATTGTGTACTACATATAATTTAGATTGGTAAAGTTTGTAATAAATATATGTGCCTATTGTATGTATGCGTAGATGCTACATCTCTATTGATACGTGGATGTGTGTGGGGGCATATATGCATATTTCCCCTTCTGCTAACCACAAAGGAGCTGTCAATCATTGAGCACTGTGTCCCTGGGAGTATTACTCTTATCTTGAATTTTTTTTTTAAAGTTATCTACAGTTTTACTTTAATTCAACAAATTAAAATGATGCGAAGTGTTTCACTTGCACTGTCCATTTTACACTCTTGTTAAGTAGCAGTTTGTGAACTGCCCAAGCATGTTGATTATCTTGATAAGATGCGGTAACTGTGCATAACTAGATAAATTGTGTGAATATAATTTTCTTCTGGGTATGAAGGAATTTTACAATGATAATCACTCAGAATGTTTGTATTTAGGTGCAGTTCTTTTTGCTTTCAGATTTTTGGGTTACATCTCACTTCTGTATCATTTTACTTTAGTAATTGAAGAAAGTAGATAGGAGATTGTTGTTTGATCCCACGAGAATGAGGTGGAATGTATGTATACTGTTCGCGTGTTTTAAGGGTTTTCTAAAATAGTATTTCATAATCTGATGCAGGGCAGCAAGTCTAGTATTTCAGGCTTAATACTTTTTAATGTACATTTCTATTTGTGAGAGCTTACTTAAGGACATGGCTTTAAAATCATTCACTATTAGACTGTCTTCTCTGGATTGAGTGATCTCCTTTTAATCTCTTCTGCAGTACTAACTATTGTACACATATGTAAAATACCCCCAACTTTCTCTTTTGCCTGACTTTATTTCTTTGATGTACATTCATGTTCATCTCATTCTAAATTTGTCTTAACTTTTTCCCCTTCAGTTTAATGAGCGGCGTTAAGAATAACGTTGGAAGAGGGATCAATGTAGCCTTGGTGAACGGTAAGAGTGCCTGCTTTAACTTACGGATGAAGTGGGATACACTCAGATATCAGGGGGTCAGGGTCAAAGGGTAGCTGTCGACACTAAGGCTCTCCTCCCAACCCTCCCTTCCCCAAAGGCCAGACTGGAGACCTGGCATCTGTGTTGCTACAGCACACTTTCTTGGAGGCCTCCAGCTTGATGTGCAGTGTACAGAGAGCTCCGCGTGAGATTGCCTGGAAAAAAGCAATCTAACTTGGTGAATTTTACTGCAAATTTTGGAATCCTCACATTAACATGAAGATCAATTGACACAAATGAATATATATAGAACGACAAAGGGTGTTGAACAATTGGGTAGGATGGGGGAGAATTGAATTAGTTGTAATTTTTCAGTACTGTGCACATTCTTCCGGTAAGTTCATTTATGTTGTCCATTGAATGCTAAACATCTTGAAAGATATTCTTGCTGTTATATATGTAGGTGGGAACCCTCGAAGTGAGGCCTAACAGCCCATGGTCATCTCTTCCTGCCACATAACACTGTAAAGCTCTGTGGGATGGTTAGAAACCACAACCATGTCACCTAGTTCATAGGGTGGGGAATCTTTTCTTTTACAGCAAAAGATATTTTTTTGTCTTTCTACTTTCTTCATCTTGTTATAAAAACATTTCTATGCCTAGTTGTCGATAGCAAAGGGGAAAAAAAATCACCTTAAAAAGAATATAATATTGAAAAGATGGCTTTAATGATAGAAAATAGCATCAGATGTATCTTTTTGAAAGAGCTCTAGGTATTTGGGATAATTTTTAAGGAAAGATGGTAAAACATAGAGTAAAAACATAACTAACTTTGGATTGGAATGGCCTGTGGTCAGTGGTGGACTTCTGTTTGCTACCCTTTGGCTTAAAAGTTTACTGAGAAAATCCTATCCTAAAATTACCTTCAGAAATATATTTTAGATGTATGCAGTTCAGATTTGACTGTCATAATAATTTTCTCTGTTAGCAAATTCATCTTAATTATCACATAAGATCCATTATCTTATAGAGTATAGAATATATTTCAGGTGCACAATTTGATAAGATTTCATTCTCTTTCAGGAAAAACAGGAGAAGTATTAGACACTAAATATTTTGACATGTGGGGAGGAGGTAAGTTAAATAAATAACGTAACTGTCACTACCACTGACTTCTTAATCATCTCAATAAATATAATCCATTAATGGGAAAATAATGGAACTCTTTTTGTGTTTATCTTGCTCCTTTCACTTTTTCCAACTGTTCATAAGATCTATCCTGTTGTATGTACATTTTTTTTAGGTCTGGTGGGTAATTAAGAATAGTAATATGGGGGGCCTCCCTGGTGGCGCAAGAGGTTAAGCACCGCACTGTGAAGCAATCCGCAGCCTCTGCAGCATGAGTTTGATCCCCGGCCGGCCAGGGAGCAACCCACATGGCGAAGCAGACCTCTCCTATCTTGCCTGCTGCTCCCCTCAGCAGTGCGTTTCAGTCAGTCTGTTTGTTCTGCTCCCCACTCTGTCTCTGGTGACTCCTCTCACACACACATACACCCCACATCTCTGGCCTGTACCCCAGTTCTTGTATGCATAAATAAATCTTTTTTGAAAAATAGTAATATGAAAATGGATATTTTTTTAAAAACTGAGCTCTTTTTTCTGCAGGACAACTAAAGCTTTAGGCTCCAATAGGTTTCTGTCTGAAATATTAAAAAAAAACAAGTGATTTGCAGATGGGCATAGCGATTTCAAGTATTTTTAACTGACTGAATTGATTTTACATCTGATTTTACAGTCTCAAAATCATAACCAGGATTATTATTAAAATGGGTGAATATTTGAGAGAAGGAAAGAAATAGAATCTTCTTTCTAGTTCTTTAGCCTTGGGACCATTATAAATTGCTGAGGATATGAAAGAATTTGTAGTACTTGGTCTACCTCTGGTATCACCAGTGTGTAATCACTGACTGGTTTATTCTGAAGTCTGTAAACCTTATTATGTTAGATAAAGCAGTTAATGATTTTTTTTTTTTAGATTTATTTATTTATGCATACAAGAACTGAGGTAAGGCCAGAGGTATTGGGGGGTGAGAGGATTCACCAGAGACAGAGTGGGGAGCAGTACAGGCAGATTGAAACACATTGCTCAGAAGAACAGCAGGCGATTCAGGAGATGTCTGCTGCCCCATGTGGGTAGCTCCCTGGCCAGGGATCGAACTCCGTGCTATAGTGGCTGCGGATAGCTTTGTAGGTTGCATCTTAATCCCTTGTGCCACCAGGGAGGCCCAATTAATGATTATTACTTGCCTTCATTAGTTTGGATTCTAGTGACAACCTTTACTCATTTCCCCTAGTTTACAGTAAAAATAGTTAAGCACGGAAGATCCCTTAAATCAGTTTGTGTGCATGTATGTGTGTGTTGTGTATCCATGTTTATGTAAATTTTTATATTACAGATTTTGTTGTGGATTAGATAAAAGCTATGTATCCTCTTTTAAGCTAAGTACCCATTCAAACAATTTTTACATCCACTCAGGGAAAATATGAGCCTTTCTCCTACCGCACTCTCCCAAGTTTCTTATCTTAATCATAAGTCATGCTTTAATGTGATTTGGCTGTGATTTTTTTCGTTTAGTTCCTGGGATGGCAATTCAGAAAGTAAATAGGATGAATCAGGGTTGGGAAATTTTAAGTCTAGTGGGATCATATTAAGGGGCCTTAAGATTTATCTGCCTTTTGGTTACTCTGTGTTTTAAATAACTTATTGATAAGAACTTTATATTTTAACTTTAAAAATTTTGGTGGTTATTAATTTTTTTCAAAAAACTCTTAACTCTTTCTTTCTTTCTTCAGATGTGGCACCATTTATTGAGTTTCTGAAGTCCATACAAGATGGAACAATAGTCCTAATGGGAACATATGATGATGGAGCAACCAAGTATGTACATTGAAAAATTTACACAACTTTTGGAGCTATGATTTATAATTATAAAGGCAATACATCTTCACTGAAAAAAAATTACAAAATAGAGCAAAGTAGTACAATTTCCAGATAAAACACTATTAACATTTTTTCAGTTTGCTTCCTCCCTATCATTTTTGTGTGTGTATGTATGTTTGTATATATACATATATGTATACATGCATACATACACATACACACGTGACTAAAATCAGAATCACATTGTACATAAAGTTTTTAGACTGTTTTATATTGTCTTTTAATAATCTTAGTTTTCCCATCATTAAAATTCTTCAGCAGTTTTCATGGCTGCCTGACAGTTTGTCATAAGGCCCCACTGTTATTTAACAGTTTCCTCTTATTGCCGAATTTTTCATATTATAAATAATTTCACAAACATTTTTCTGAACAAAAGTTTTTTGCACGCTATGATTATGTCCTTATGGTAAATTCCTGGAAGTGGAATCAATTGTGAAGGAATAAGTGTGATATATATATATATATATATATATATATATATATATATAAAATAAAGTTTAATAGATGGTAGTTTGTAATGTTTTTCTTAAATTGTATCTGTGGTGAAATTTGGAAAATGCATGAAAGCACAAAGAGAGGGAATTGGCATGCGTATTGAGTAGGGAAAGCAGGACTCAGTTGTCTAAATATAGAGAGGTTATCTACAGAGTTCCTCATTCATCCTGTTTCTACCAAACATGACGAAATCCTCAGCTCTACAGTGAATGTCAGCAGAACATCCGGGTCTGATTTCCATCGCAGCATTTCTCAAAGTGTGTTCTGGTGGAACCCTCATTCTTTCTAAGCTATTAATGGTTAAGTTTGGGGACGCACCTTGTTTTTGTTCCTTCTGCCCTGAAGAGCCTCTTTACCTGTGTTTATTCCAGTAATTGATTTTAATGAGGAAACCCATTATAAAGAAGAAAATTATATCTATGTAAGAAAACCTATACTTGGGGTCATACATATCTCTAATGAGCCCTTATTTTTCACCCTAACCTCTATGGTAAGTTGGGTTTTATTTAATGAAGAATAGGATAGTTTGAGTGAGCAAACTAAATTTTGCATTCCTCCTTTTGGAGAGAACATTCCATGATATGTTAACTTTATGCCTAAGTGAAAGATTTCGGTCTGAATATCTTGACATAAGGAGTCTTAAAGGTTTCCTGAAACAGCCTCTCAGCCTGGGCAAGATTCCTCTATGAATTCCTCCTCCAAATTGCTCACCTCCTAATCATTTTGTATTTGAAGCTAATTGCATTTCCCTTACCTCTCTCTCATCCAGCCACAGTGCTTAACAATTTCTAGGTCATTTTACCCTCCTGGCTGCCTTATCTAACTCCTGATTGATTATTGTCTGTCTTAAAATGAGAACACCCCAAATCGAACACAGTTTTCCACATGTGGTCTGGCCAGTACAGGGTACCATGGAGATGCTAGCTCTCCATGTTTTAGAGATTACATTTCTTTGAATATTCATGCAGACTAGTATTGTATTAGTTTTCTTTAAACAGTCATATTACATTTTTGGCTTGAGAAAGTTTGGTCAAGTTAATTTCTCAGATCTTTTAATTTGATCTCTGAATTCTTTTTTTTTTTTTTTTTTTTTTTTTTCTTTTTAAACTGCTGCCAAGTCAGGTCTTTCTCCCAATTCAGAGCTTGATTTCATATCATCTTAAGTGAAGGATTCTATATTCGTTTATCCTTGTTAAATTTAATTTTGCTGATTTTGGCGCACTTGGTCTTGATTCTGACATTTGTCCTGAGGTTTTCATGATCCAGGCTTTGTACTCTCTCCAAAGTCGTTCTTAGGTCTAAATCTAAGTCATTGATAAAAATGTTTACCAAGGGCAGCATGCCACCCTGTTAAGGGCCTTCTCCAGGGGATTCATATAAATCAACTGCAGAAATTTACTTTTCAGACAGCTGCCAATGTACCCTTATAGTCGTGCCATCTGACTGCTGTTTCATTATTTTATTCATAGGGGTTATTTTCTGAGACTATCGTATGCTTGCTTCATATTCATGGACTCTGCTCATTACAGTTTCCTGATCTACTGCCCAAAAACCTATAAGCTGAAATCGCTGGGATGACATTAACTTGGCTTGATTTATTCCTCCCTCCTTTCCACTACCCCTTTCCTTTCTTTCCTTTATTGTTATTTTTTTAATGCTCGCAGATATGATAATTCATTGTAGAAATTTGTTAGGAATGGGAATATATTTTACTGAATCATTGGTTCTTAAAATTTTGCTTGCCTTTTTTGAAATCTGGAATATTTAACTTTTAATGTCACCAGCATCTCCATTTTCCATGCTGCTTCTAAAATAACTGACACTACCTTGAGGATCATCTTAACCAATTCCTTTGGAATTGAAAAGTATGTGACAGATAAGGGTCTGGGGGGTTAAACTGATTTTAAAGCATTTGTATTCTTGATGTACTGTTCCCTGTTTATGTAGATCAGAGTTTGCCTCCCTGAAAACTTCAGTTGTGCTTTGAACTTAAATACTCTGCGGGTTCTTGTGAGACTGTGGGTTCCTTTGTTATTCAGAAGTACAAGTTCTTCCTGTGACCTTTCAGAGCACTGCAGGTCTTCCTGGTAATAGTATCAAAAGTTTTGTCAATAGCAATATGATTTGCCTGTTATTTTTGCACACTTCCTTTTTTAATTACAGAATGTTCCTATGGTAGCATTACTTTGGAAAATTTCCTCCCCTTTTTTTAAGGGATTGTTAGCAATTATATAGTGGAAAGTTGCAGAATTATTTATTTGTTCTTACAATCTTATTCCCTCATAGGAGTTTCTCATCTCATCTTTTTATAACATGTTCTCATATGCCTAGTGTTTTTTATTCTTCAGACTTCAGGAAATACGGTAATGTTCTTCCAAAGTTCTGGACACTTTTACTTCCCTATTGATTCTTCCCTGTTAATCAGAACTAAGCCCAGAATGCTTTCTGTCCTGTGGCTTGCTTTGATGCTTCAGCGTGGTGGGGGGGGGGGGGGGAGGGATGGGATGTTCTCCTTCCCTAGCAAAGGTGGAGGCAGAGCTCAGAGATACTCATCCCAGCTCCCACCTTCTCCACTTCCACCCCCGGCTGCCTCTGTGCATCTTCAGAATCTGTTCTCAATCTCTGTCTTTGTCTGCCTTTTGGGTTGCCACAGGATAATTACCCATTTTAAAGAGAATTCACAACTGAAATGATTCGTTCAGCATAAAATCTTAACCTAGCTAATTAAGACCACTAGTAAACATTAACATGTGTCTAACAAACTCATGGTGCTCCTATCTAGAATAAAAAGCTTGTCTCTAGACTTGTCTCTAGGGCATTTTGACAACTATGGTGTATTTAATCTAGTGCTCATAATAATAGGGTATGCTGCATGACTCTGAGCTTCTTTTTGAAATATTAAATCATCTTTTACTTAGTTAAATAGAAGATATTAGAAAAAGAACAACAACAACGACCAAAAAAACCAAACTCTTCATAGACAGATCAAGCAACTCTAGAAGTCATTGAGAAAGTAATAAAACTATAATGCTCATAGGAGGCCTGTGAGCACCCTGAGATTCGAGACTTTCTAGGTGGGCTCACAGCATGCAGACCTGCCCACTCATGACTGCCGTTTTTTACATGCAAAATCAAACCAGCAAAGGGGACATGTGATGAAGCAAAGTCTGCAGGAAACCAGGCTCAATTTTCCAAGATTCCTCTCCCAAGTGGAGTCACACAGGGCAATGCCAATTCCCCCAGCAACAAAATGAAAACAATATGAAATGCTGTCTACTCTAGGAAAGCTCATTAAACCAGGGCTTTTATGAGGAGCTGGCCATGTAGGCACCCTCTTCCTAATACACCCTGATTCTAGACTCTCAGAGAGAAGGTAGGTATTTGGCATAAACTGCGTTTGTAGTTTTTAAGCACAGTGAACCTACACTAAGCAATTTTTCTTATATAAAGTAAATCCTTAGCATGTATGAACTTAACATTCAGCTATTTATGAGCAATCCTACAAGCCCCTGTAGTTTTTCTGAGGCGGAAATGGGAATCCAGCCTGGAGGGCTCTCTGCAGGAGGTCTAAGCTGCCCAGGAACTACTTCCCGACCTCCATATACAGTTTATTCCTGTTATAACTGCACACATCACCTCCAAGCGCTGATGATGCAAGGGAAAAGTTCACAGAAAGGAGTCAGAAAATAGAACATCTAGGTAAACTGATGAATGGAAATTGACAGTCTTCAGATCCATGTCATCCTATACTGCTTGGAAACAAGAAAACAGTTTAGACATTACTTTCAACACAAATGTTGCATGCCAAGTGAGCCACAAATGAACAGTGATAGCTAACACATGTAAGGATGGGCACAGGAATCACGGCTGCAGGCAAACTCTAGGGGGAAACCGGAAGCCTGTACATGTGATTCTTTGTTAAGGTCTCCAAATCCTCAGAGAGGCTGAGACTGCACTGGTTCCGTTGCACAGCCTTTTCTTTCTTTTTATTTCATTTAATGATAACTGCGTAACCAGATAGACTTGAGTCTGATCGGCTAAATTTTCAAAGGCATTTATTTATTTATTTGTTTGCTTGTTTGTTTGTTTATTTTTGCGACTGCTTTTCTCACCAATTCTAGTGAACATCCTGCAGGAGACAGATGCCCAGGCTGTGGGGAAAATAGCCCTACCCTTGGTTGTGGAAATCTCTAATGATATGTGTGGTTCCTTCCTGTTTCTTTGAAGCTCTTTTTGTTGTAGACAGATTGTCCCATTTATCTTCAAGTTAGTTTAATGAGAACTGTTCTTCCTAGCATTTCATTCATTAATGCATTAAAGAAGCTATGAAGTGTTTGAAAGAACACTGGGGTAACTAAGGACCTTCCTCAGTGACCCTCATGCTGTCTGCAGTTAACAATCCTCCAGCTACTTGCAAATATGAAACTGGCCCTGCGTCAGATTTTAGCAGAACAAAAGCCACTAGAATTGATCTTTCTGTTCCATCCTGTGTGGGACTGACTGTGAAATACATTGTGCAGGTCACCCCTCCTTATCTCTCTTCCCCTCCCCCTCACTCCCACCCAAGCTCTATGACTAGGGTGTATCAACTGAGTTTCCTCTCCCTTTTGAGACCAAGTAAAGATTGAACATCACACATTAGGATGATAACCTACAGCCAATTCCTTGGTGACATCTTTCAGTTAGTTTCCCTAGCAGTTGACTTTTGCTGTTTTTCCTGCAGCTGTTCGGTGGTTAATACTTATGGCTTTTATCAAATAACCACTCAGCAGTTGTCACTGAAGTACGGTTTATAGTCTATTTTTAAATTTGTTTTCTTTTAAATGAAACTCAGTATTAGAAACATCGAGATTCCTGAACAGCCTTTACCTTTATTCAGGTATAATTTACAAAGGCTTCTAGTGAAGATTCAAAGTGATTTTTAATTTTACAAAGATACTGGGGTTTAAAGACCTGGGATTTGCCTGACTAGGCATTCCATAATTGTTGTAATTATTTAACAGGTATGGGTGAAAGCGAGTAATTGTAACTAAAGACATCAAAAGGTATTCCTTAATAGAATGAACTTAAAAGTAATTGCTAGATTTCATGTTTTTTTGTGACTGAAGAATTAAAGTGGTAGGGATGTTTTACTAAAAAAAAAATCCTTTTCCTTTGTATGTTCTCATTTTATCTTGTGTTATATGTTAAATATCCTGAGTGAATAAATATTCCTTAGATGACATACAGTGCACTGGACTTACTGTATTTTTTCTCTACTCTTTTAGGCTCAATGATGAGGCACGGCGACTCATTGCTGAGCTGGGGAGCACATCTATAACTAATCTTGGTTTTAGAGACAACTGGGTCTTCTGTGGTGGGAAAGGCATTAAGACAAAAAGCCCTTTTGAACAGGTCAGTGTCTAAGACTTTCATAATTAACAGACACGAGCAAATTATATGAAACTGGACAGTACATTTTCTTTTTTTTAAGATTTATTTATGCATACAAGAGCTGGGGTGCAAGTCAGAGGTGTGGGGGCAAGGGAGGTCAGAGGATTCACCAGAGACAGAGTGGGGAGTAGAACAGGTAGATCTACTGAGATACACTGCTGAAGGGAGCAGCAGGTGAGACAGGAGAGGTCTACTGCACCATGGGTCAGCTCCCTGGCCGGGGATCAAACTCGTGCTGCAGTGGCTGCAGATAGCTTTGTAGTGATGAGACTGAACCCCTTGTGCCACCAGGGAGGCCCCTGGACAGTATATTTTCTTATTCAAGCTATTTGAAGCTTAAGTAAAGCAGACAGTGAATACATTCATATATTTTCCACAAGTTTGTGTTAGTCAATTCTTAGAAATAACCATGGCACTGTTTTAATTGTAAAACTTAAAAATAGTCATTTCCTGCTTGGGAATTGTTCTTCCCTGCATAACAGTGCATTCATATGTGATTACTTGTATCTTAAGTCTTAAAAAATATTGGTTGTTAAAGATTAATAAGATTAAGTTGAACTCAACTTGATGTTGTCAATTAAGTTTGGAAATACTTTAGAACATAGTAGAATATAAGCTTTACTTTTTGATTAACAATGGTTCTTCAAAAAAGTAAAAAAACAAACTGTGTGATGTTTATTCTCTCAGCTGTTAAAGGTCTGCCACTGCATGCCAGGCCCCAAGAGTTACGCATTATCTTGAGCAGTAATTTATGTGAATCTACGGTTAACATGAGTGTTACTGAAATGAGCTAGTATCAAGTATGTTGTTGCCGAGCATCCACTCACCAAAGTTATTAAAACTGTATACTATTGTTTCACCAGTATATAAAGAACAATAAGGACACAAACAAATATGAAGGATGGCCTGAGGTTGTAGAGATGGAAGGCTGTATCCCCCAGAAGCAAGACTAACGTGGAGAAAATTGAAGCGCACTTTCACTATTAACGGGAGAACTATGAAGAGAGTTGGCGTGTAAATATTTTAAGAGCATGCAACCATCTCGGTGTATGCATGAGCATTATCTCTTTGATATCAGGATTATTTATTGCTAACGTACATAGTTATCTTTGTAAATAGCTATAATGAGCAAATCACTGAACCATTTCTAAGCACATTTCCCTAGTACTACAAGTTTAGATTGCTCTGGTAACGTTGCCTTGTAATTCTAAAAGTATACTCAATGTATGATTGAAAAGATTGTGAAAAATGTATTGATATATATATATATACACATACATATATATACATACATGTATACTGGTTGCTGTGAGAATCTGTCATGAAATAATAAGGATTTTAGGGGGGAGACTGTTTCTGGCCTTTGATAATAGTGTCTTTAAATTAAAGAGATACTTGGCTAGTTTTGTGTATAATGTTACTTCACAGTCTTACTCTCCCCCATACCCCTTTTCTTAGTTTTTCTTTTCTTTTCCCAAGAAACCTAGAAATAAAATGATAGGAAAACGTGTATCAGATATGCAAAAAGCACAACAAAATTCTTTTTTTAATGTACACGGTAAAAATTAAATATGTAGAGATCAATGTTATTCAGGATGATAACTTGCTGGATTTTGTGTTTTTATAAGCTATTTAGAGTGAGGCTGGAGACTCCACAGAGCTGGGGAACTAGGCAAGTCTCTTCCAATATCAGGTCATTCAGGACAGCCTTGTCAGTAAATCCAGAGCAATACTGACATATACTTTGCTTATTTAAATGTTATTAGCAATGACCATGGAGTTTTGAAGGAGGCACGCTTTAATATCACAATAAATTTGATCTGTAAACCAAAAAATTCTGTATTTCATTTAACTTCATAGAATCAATTTTTGCCCAAAGATATGATGACATATTTAGAAAAGCCCTAATTATTGAGTGGACTTAGGGCATTAAAAAATAAGTTTAATTCACCCAAATGACTTTCAACACAATTTTACATAAAAATATAGAAGCATTAACATTCTTATTAAATGCAGATATTTGCTATTTTTTTTCAGGGCATTAAATTACCTATTTAATTTCTTAAACGTAAGTAAATTCAATGACCTAACTGCCATTCACAATAAAAGGCAGCACTTAAATTTTGAATCTAAATTTTAAATGACTTGTATAAAAAAATCTTAAAGCAGTATTTTTAATTTTGTGGTAAACCAAGATGGAAGCTATTCAACTGTTTCTTAAATATTAGTGAACTTTGGGTACTATTTCTTCTGTCAAACTGAATGTAATTCATGGATAATGCACCTAATACATTTAAACAGTTTTTGTAAACTTCAGATTTTGGTGCTTACTAAATCACATTCTCAGCATGTGTATTTTGGCATTTAAAATGCTTCCCTCAATTCTGTAAATTAAAAGAATAATTTTACAGTTCCAGGGATTGTGAAATACTGCATTTGCAAAAAATAATAATGACAATAAATACTCTGTTTTGCATTGTGATTTTTTTTTTTTGTGTTATCTGGCAAAGGAACGTAATACAGAACTTCATATTGAGGTTTGTCAAGCATTTGTTGTGCTGCCTAACATGAGAAATTTGTCATTTCTGTTGTTAAACACTAACTTCTTCAGGATATGTCTGAACATGTGTAGAAGTTAAGACAGCAGGACCTCCCTTTTTCAAGATAAAAGCTGTAAAATGATGACTTTGTAAAGGTGTATAAAATGTCAAAAGAAGGGATAAAAGTTCTTATGTAACTGCTTTCGTGCATTTTGCTTTTGTTTCAGTTCTGTTTTGTATAGATTGTGCCAACTTTGGAAGCAATAATTTTACTACATTTCATTTTCAGATATCTTCTAAAAATCAGCGTTGTAAAGGAATCAAATCTTTAATATTAAGAATTTTCTTTATTAAAATCAAAAGCTTGGCATTGACACTTTGGTATTTTAATTGGTGTTTAAGGATGTATGAATGAGTATTTTTAATTTGTAATCATGGATGCTTTCCCAGAGCAAGTGTATTGTGATATGCCTGTTAAGAGTAAACGAAGACAGGAAAATATGTGATATTTGGGTAATTAAAGAAAATGTGGACTAGAGTCTTTATATTCCTGACTTTAATTTGATTAAAATTTATCATTATTTCTGTATTTTGTTGTATTTGTTTGGAAATGAATCAACTACTGTTTTACAGTTTTATATCAAGTGAAGTTCAATTCATTTAAAAACCTATTGCACTTTATATTTTAAAAGTTTATAGACATTAAAATGTGACTCTCCCTTCAAAAAGCTGATAGTTTCATTCAGTTTGGTTGATAATCCCTATTTTAAAATGAAAGAATGAAAATTGTGTTCAGCTGTAGACCAGTTAAACTGGAAATGTGTTTAGAATACCTTTTAAAATAAATATGAAAGAGGGCCTCCCTGGTGGTGCAGCAGGTTGAGCGCAGTGCTGTGAAGCTGCCCGCAGCCTCTGTAGCGTGGGTTCGATTCCTGGCCGGCCAGGGAGATTCCCACATGGCGCTGCAGACCTCTCCTGTCGCGTCCACTGCTCCCTTCAGCAGTATCTTTGGTCAGTCTGCCTGTTCTGCTCCCTACTCTGGCTCTGGTGAATTTGCTTACCCTCCTGCACCTCTGGCCTGTACCCCAGTGCTTGTATAAATAAAATAAATCTTAATAAATAAATATGAAAGAGAAACATTACATGTTAACTGGGGGAAAGATTTACCACCTCTTCAGTTAGGCCTTGAGCACCTCTAAGTATATGCAAATTAAGTGCTGTACGACAAACTACTAGCTCTTACCTTTTTTTTTTTTTAATATTTATTTATGCATACAAGAGCTGGGGTGTAGGCCAGAGGTGCCAGAGACCTAGGAGGTGAGAGGATTCACCAGAGATAGAGTGGGGAGCAAACAGGCAGATCTACTGAAATACACTGCTTAGGGGAGCAGCAGTGAGATGGGGAGGTCTGCTGCACCATGTGGGTAGCTCCCTGGCAAGGGATCAAACACATGCTGCAGTGGCTGCAGATAACTTCATAGAGCTGAGACTGAACCCCTTGCACCACCAGGGAGGCCCCAGCTCTTACATTTTTGAAAACACACCTCAGAATTCTTTTTGGTGCTTCCAGGGTGGTTTTTGTCATATACTTCGTTTTTGATTGTCACATGCTAATGGCTAGTTTATTCCATTCTCTTTTAAAGCTCCCTCAAGTTAACTAGATGCTGCTCTCTACTATTGCTTGTTTTTCCACTCCCCGTCTCTTGAGGTTCTGGTTAAATCAAGTCTAGACAGAGAAAAATGCAGGCAGGCTTGCCTAAGGACTGTCCCTTGCTAGGCAGCAGAAAGGGAATGGTAAAGAACAGTGCAGGCAGTGTGGTGGAAGTCCATGTGGAGATCTAGGAGAACTTTGTCCATCAGAACCTTCCTCCAATCCAGTGAGGGGGGCAGATCAGAAATAGCCTCTGTGCAGGTGAGTACCCTCTGGGAGGTCAGAATAGCACTGATGAGAGGGGGCAGCGGGGAAGGCTGCTCTGTGTCCACCATTCAGCTTTCATATTCTCACACAGGAACCAGATGCCCTCCTCATTATGCAAATTAAAAAGTCAAATGAAACTTTAGTTGTGTTGACTGCATTCACATTATTTTTACCGCGTGTTGGAGAGGTGGTTTTTTCTACCACTACTTTTGTGCAAACAACCTCTAGTGGTTTTACTTTGGATGGAATACAAACCATTACCAATGGTTACTTTCATCCATTAAAAATAGCACCTCATGTAATCATTGGCTATACCCACAACAATAAAATGATGCATTTAAAGTCACCCTAAATTAGTTTGATCTTTACCACCAGTCCTTTCCTTTTGGAGTGATAACTAGGCTTTGCATAATCCAACTGTTAGTCACATTGGGATCTAAAATAGTTTAAATCACTGAGCTTAGAAATCAACAGGTGGTATATTTTAATTCTATTTCACAGTGAATGCTAAGGCCTCAGTTCTCCATCACCACTCCTGCTCCTCAACCAAGTTCATATAACTAAGCTGTGAAGGAACATCCTGGAATTTTCATTATATTTACAAAGCCCCCACACTCCCGAAGTGTGTAACTTGTAAACTTGGCGTCCTGGCAATTTTGATGCTATGAGAGGCGCCATAATATGCTGGTTAAGGACACAGATGGCTGAGGCCAATCTCTGTGATCTTGGGCTATTACTGGGTCTGTTTGCTCATCTGTAAAATAAAGACCACAATCGTAGTACCTACTTTTATAAGGTTAGTGTGAGGATTAAATGTGTTCATATATATTATAACTTACATAGAATATAACCTGCTACGTAGGAAGTGCTATCTGTTTGTTAATATTGTTCTCTCTTTCAAAGGCGCTACACTCCTGCTGTGCCACTGTGCCTTCTTTTGTGCTGCGCCATGTGCTTTTGTCCTCAGCCTACCTCTTCATCCTACTCCAGGAAGTGTAGTGACTTATCACAACTGGTATGTATAGTGAAACAAATTAAAACACACACACACACATACACACAATAAGGATTGTTAGCCATCTTCCTTAAGAAGGGCTTGTCTTGAGTATTCATGGCTCCTGGGAATGTGATTTGAGCTTTTCTTCCCTCAAGTTGGCTAAGTGGATTATAGTGCTCTAGATAATTGACTCCAAACATTGGTTTAGTTGCTCAGTTTTTGATGGCCTTTGGGAGGTGATGCCAAAAGTACCACAGCTCACCAAACTGCCTATAAATAAATATTTTGATGGAAAACTTTTCTGGTTCCACATTTTAAACTAAGTAAAACCAAACATATCAGTACTGACAGTACTTCAGAAAATTAGAGTGTTTCTAGAATACTTGCTGGGAATATCCTATGGTTACAAAACTGCAAAATAGTGCTGTAGAATTCTATTCATATAATTAATAATATAATTAAATTCTATTGTTCTTAACTATCACAGGTTCTTAAAACCACTATCATCCAAATTGTGATTAAAAATACAGTGCAGTTTATATTCAAACACAATGCTTTTCGTGGTGGGTAAGTGAACTGATACCAGGGAAATGCTTAAGACATTTCTTTAGCCAGAGGTTACAGATAATACCATATGTTTTTCTTGATTTTATTTCAAAACAACCATCATTGCCGTTAGCTATTGCCTCTAATAGGCAGTTCCAAATTTTCAAAAAACATTGAACTCCTAAGTTAAAAATTAATGCACCAGAGTACCTCCCTTCCACTTTTTAATATAAAGTACATTTAAACATATCAAAGCACTTTGTACCCACATATGTGACCCACAGTGCTTTGTCTGGCTGTGTGCCTGACCCATGTGAAGCCAGAAGGCTGTTTCCTAAACACATCACTAGAGCTGGGGCATCTAACTAGTCAGTCTCTGCCCAGCGTCCAGGCACCCTTTCATGGTGACGGGATACCCTGGTTTTCCTCTATGCCTGTATCCCTTTCCTATTCTCAGGCTAGGTGGTTTTATTCTAAAACCCTAGTTGCCAGCTTCCAGCAAGAGTGGGTCTCGATTGTCCGGATGATCCGGGTATTTACCAACCCTAATCCCCAAAGGCCACAGTGACTGGTTCAGGGCTGGGCACCTGAACATCTGAGTCCATGAGACTCAGAGGACCTTTGCTGGGCTTTCTGAGAAATGAAAGTTTTCCTTCTCTCCTGCATGCACAACCAGGGGAAAATAACCTCTCTCATTCCTTGGAGTAAGCGGAGGAGAATGTGAAGTCTGGAAGGGAAGTGTGGCAGCCGCGTTGCTAAGAAAAGCAGAGAACCTGGAGTTGCTGGGAGATCCCAGCTGAGGGTGGAGGGCAGTGGCTGGTGCAGCACTGTGTGGAGCCTCAAGCAGAAGCCAGCACCCTGCAAGCCAGCCCTTTTAGGCTGGAGATGGAGAGATGTGAGTCTGGGGACACAGTGTGAGCTTGTGGATCAAGCTTGAGCCAGTCACAACGAGGGATTTTACAGTTCTGAGTCAGTTCATTTCCTAATCTGTTGGGTTTTCACTTACTGGCAACTTTAAGAGCCCTAATTACCTCATGTACCTGGGTGGGAAAGGAAAAGAGGAATCCAAAGACACAGCTTGGAAATCAGGAGTTCCTGTTCAGGCACGCAGGAGAAGAGAGCCTGGGTCGGTGGTTGAAAACAATCAGATATTTGGGAATTATATAGACTGGCTGATTGTTACAATGGCTGGTTAAGGTGATAGTGAAAAAACTTTCCGGTTAATATGGTTGGCCATCAATTGGAACTACAGTCTTCTTTTTTTTTTTAATAAAAAAGAGTGCTTATTTTCACTGTAGGTAAAATAGATTTACTTCGCAAAAAAAGACATGAGAATTGTCTGTGTTTTGGGTTATTCTCATCAGTGGATGCTAAAGAATGGTAAACCACTTTTAAATAACAACTGTGCATTTGTCATTTCTGAATCTTCTCATTCAGTAAATAATAATCACGTTAAACCTGAAGGCTCACAATTCAATGTTTAGTCTCGATTTTAATATCAGACCTGAGACATTTTCTATGGGTTTGTTCTTTTACACAACTTAATGGTCTGCCTTGGTAAATAAAATTTAAAGGAAATAGACTGAGACCTGGGGGCAGGAAAACAGTTCTTTAGCTTATTATAAGAACAAGAATACTCTTTCTTTGTCCATCCTGAACTTAGAAAATTTTTTCTACATAATACTGAAATATTTAACAATTCATAAAAAACATAAGCATTTACATTTAAAATACAACTTAAATACAGCACTATAATTTTCATGAGAAACCTTATAAAATATGATGAGTATCCATGCATGAATAACAGGAGAGACCATTCAACATTCACATGAAAATGCAGCATTACGTACAATATAATAAATATCCAGGATATCAAATCCACAAATCGATCATTATTCTAATTTAGATTCCTTTCTTCCAGTTATACTTTTACTGTATAATTTACTACAATAAACTTACAAGTTAAACATAACTAATTAAAAACAGAATTCAACTAATCCGACTGCTGAATTAACACAATTCTCAATATTTTACAGCATACTTTAATCTATAACATATAAAACTGCCATTTGGGCAAGAAATACACATCCATATAACATACTGCTCTATTAATCTCTTTTCAAAGTACACAAAAACCCAGCATTTGAAAAGAAACAGAAGCTAATCTTATTTCTAAGACAATATTATTGCTTCAGCTCTTGGACTTTGGCAATAAAAGTCTGAAGTTTTAATATATATCACATAACTTAAATAATGTATTTACAAAATATAACACTTTTTAAAGCAAAATACCATACAAAATACTGTCTTTACACATTTAACAAGCACTTTTCTTTACAATGAATGAGAGTGCCTTATATTTTTACCTCTAATTTCTCACACACTTTCAGGATCCTTCCTCCCCTAGAATTCCAAGCTGGGTTTTATTTATTTATTTATGTATGTACGTATGTATGTATGTAAGTATGTATATGTATGTATCTGGGGTGTAGGCCAGAGATGGGGGGGTGGTGAGAGGATTCATGAGAACAGAGTGGGGAGCAGAACAGGCAGATTTTACTGAAATATACTGCTGAGGGGCTCAGCAGGCTAGACAGGAGAGGTCTATTGTGTCATTTGGGTTAGCTCCCTGGCTGGGGATCGAACTCAGGCCATAGTGGTGATCGTGCTAAGGCTTAACAACCCTAGGCCACCAGAGAGGGCTCCCAGAGCTGGGTTTCTAATAGTGGACACTGGCCTACAATTAAAGTATGAAGTCCAAAATGAAAGATTGCCATATACTTTTTCTGATAATTTTCTTTTTAAGATTTATTTATTTTTATACAAGACCTGGGGTACAGGCTAGAGGCGCGGGAGGGTGAGAGGATTCACCAGAGACAGAGCAGGGAGCAGAACAGGCAGAAGGACCGAAATATACTGCTGTGGGGAGCAGCGGGCGAGACAGGAGAGGTCTGCTGCGCCATGTGGGATTCTCGGCCGGGATCGAACCCACACTGCAGCTGGATCAACCCACTGCGCCACCAGGGAGGCCCCTCTGATAATTTTCTAGGTAGATTTTCCTGGTTAAAAGGCACTTTTTACATTTTGGTTCTTTTCTTTGTCACTAAAGATCTCTAACAAATACTTTTTTTTGGAGATAATTGCATCCCATATGGAGATTCTTTTTTAAATTGCCCTTCTTTTGAAATGCACGCAAGGGTAAGTAAGCACTCATCTGGCAACGTTTCAACATCTCCTGTATTTAGGCACACTTAATATGATTTCTTCATCTAAAATATTGAGAGAATAAATGAAATTCATGTTTACTGCTCCTTGCTGCTATAAGAAGTGTCTTCTAAAAATAGGTAATATTCACTCAGCACTATTGAATCTGTAACTGAGTTCTGGAGTCAAGATCTTATCCAGAGTATAAGACAATCTCCTGGCAGGAAGGTTCTTTCCTGTTCTTTCTTGTTTAGGAGACAGATTATCTTCCTTATCTGTCAACACATGTTCCCCAAACCACCAAAGATGAACGCAAACCTTTTCAATTTTAAAATACCAAGAAATGCTCTGTGTGTGACGGATATTGAGTGGGCAAAGGAAACTCTGAAAGAGGATCAGGGAGCTGGGGATTCCGAGGTGGGAGTCGAATTCCCAGCCTGCATGGTGAGAGGCGCCCTCTGGGTGACACTCCTGTTGTTTGTCACTGCGTCCAAGGCTGGATTGAGTGATCACTTGCACGTGTGGACATCAGTCATGCTCTCGCACCTCCTGCAGCGGACATAGCAGCACCAGATAAACTTGCACTCGCATCTTTCCACATGCCTGACCACGTGGGTGTTGTAACCTCGGCCACAGCAGAGGAGGTTGCAGCCATTGGCACCCTCTGACGTTCGATTGCATTCTCTGCCCTGTGTCCCTGGAATCCCCAGTTTCTTGTCCTCCACACAGTAATTGGGGGACTTATTAATGTAGAGCAAATCATCCTTGCGAATGGGTATTTTCCTTTGATCTTTTTCTCGTCTGCGTATTTTCCTTTTTATTTTCTCTGAGATTTGGATGCTGTTTTCATATTTATCCTTCAACAAATGGCCAATCTTTTCAAAAGAAGACATGGTTTTCCAGCAGGTTTTCACGGCACAGGAACCGGAAACTCCGTGGCAGCGGCAGTCCACCGACATCAGCTTGGCCACAGCCTGAAACCAAAAGACATGGTGTTACACGTCATTCACAGTGTGTGATTCGCCACCCGAAGCACTAAGCACTTACCTTTGTGGGTCTGTTTTCTCTATAAAAATGAAAGCCTTGAACTTAAAGAATCTTTATCGATGGCTTACAGGGGAAATCTTCCATCCTGCTACAGACTCTGCAGAGCAAAATTTTCCAAGTCAAATTTCAAGCAGTGGGCCAGGTTAATATTGTCGTCGAGATAATTTGGGATAGCGAAGGGGCATTGCTTTTATTTAGAATCTCCTGTTTCATCTTGGGCATGGAGAATGTTCATGCATGCTCCGTGTTCCTGACGCCACGTTACACCTGGCTACTCAGTGTGGTTCTGGACCAGCAGTATGAGCATCTCTCAGCTTCAGAACCTGCATTTTAATTGTGGATGGGCTAGACTTAAACAGCCTGCTCAGCTGCCATTTTGGTTATGATTGGTTACTGCATTCCAGTACAAGGTCAGAACGGCCAGGTCAATCAGTTAGCAGACCTAAAAGGGTTCTATCCCTCCAGCCAGGGAGATACCCACATGGCTGGTAGCCCTCTCCTGTCTTACCCCGTGCATCCCTCAGCAGTGTATTTCGATCAGTCTGCCTGTTCTGCTCCCTGCTTTGTCTCTGGTGAATCCTCTCAGCCTCCCGCACATCTGGCCTGTACCTCAGTTCTTGTATGCATAAATAAATAAATCTTAAAAATAAATAAATAAAAGGGTGTAATATACCAGACCCTATAAGGCCCCTTTCAAATTAAAACAAGGCACAGAGGGTTGAGCGCCGCACTGTGAAGCTGTCCGCAGCCTCTGCAGTGCAGGTTCGATTCCCGGCCAGCCAGGAAGAAATCCACATGGCGCGGCAGACCTCTCCTGCCTCACCTGCTGCTTCCTTCAGCAGTGTCTTCAGTCTGTCTGCCTGTTCTGCTCCCCGCTCTGTCTCTGGTGAATTCTCTCACCCTCCCCCACCTCTGACTGTACCCCAGTTCTTATATAAATAAATAAATCTTAAATAAAAAAACAAAAAACAAGAGCAGGTCCCTTGCTCCTCCTGGGACAATGGGTATACATCAGGGAATACCTGGGGCGGGGGGTCCCAGAGACTGATCAGTGGGACACCTTGTCAATAAGATTGGAACCATGGGTAGGAGTTTGAGGTATGGTTTCCATTACAATACCAGGTCATCAAGCAGATAAAAAATACCTGGTCAACAGACTCACTTCCCTGCTGAAGGCCTAGATGACAGAAGCAAATTTTCAGTTTCCCCCACTCTTTTCCTTTGGTCTCCTACCCTACATAACTGATGCTGTAAGATAATTCTAACAATATAAAGGCCAGAATATTGTTCTTTCGGCTACATACTGCATTGCACAGGTTGTTCCACGACTCCCATTTCTTTGAGAATGAAGTGTTGCTATCGCAACACTATTAAGAGCCTCAGGTGACTCCTATACACATTAAAATTTGAGGAGCCCTGTAGATCGGTCTTCAGCTCACTTGGTGTGTGTGAAATCCTACAGAGAACCAAGGATCAAACCGCTGAGATTGTGATTGAATGGTGGGATCCAGGTAAAAAACTGCTCAGAGGATTCTAATGGGTGCTGGGGATGAGAACTACCAACTGGATGGAGAGTTCTTGGCTTTGATGACTGTAAAAGTTAGTTACATTCACTGGGGTTTGGGGGGACATGCTATTCCCTGGTTACAGACCACATGAGAAACCCTGACTAATCAACTTAAGTTGGGCAAAAGGAGAAGGGGCTGAAGAGTGTGGTTGCTCCCAGCAAATTCTTCCCCTGCCTTGAAAAACAATTCAAAACATATGTCCCATTCTCAATGGATCAGTAGCACCATCCTAACATAGAAAGGGGATAATATTTACAATATTTTTCAATTCTAGGTGCTGAGTTTAGTTTATACAGACTGAAGAATTAAGTGAGATTACATATATCTATGAGAGTCTACTGCCTGATACACATTAAGGTCTAAATAAATGCTCCCTCTCCCTGAAGAAGCACAATAAGAGCGGAGATAGAATTTCATACGGGACAACAGTGTAAAAATAATATTGAGATTTCAAAGGTTTTGGGGCTCTAATCTTTATATGCCAGATTAGTTAGCACAACTGCCTTCAGTCCCCAGAGGATAGCTGAGCAGATGAGTAAATCGTCAGGACTAGCTGTGGATTTAACGTTCTGTCAACATGCTGAATAAAATGAAAAATTGATCCATCCATTCAGTAACTTAGAAATTATGTGTGTAATCTCACCAAAGAAAGGAAAGCCCTCAGTTTAAATTCCACTTACAGTTTTAATCGAATCTATAAAATGACAGAGGCTTATACTTTGCTATTTTTTACCAAACCTGACATTGACAAGTTTGTGGAATGTCACACTTCCCACCAAATTAACCAAAGTTTCTGAACTGTCTAATGAGACTCACTATTTCAAACAATTTATAATATTTTCAACCTTGAATGAGAGCATGTGGTATTGCTGTATGCAAGATTCAATACCTGTTAGGTGTTTAAAAAAAATCAATTGTAATGTTTAAACCACATCTTATAGAAAACAATATATATGCTTTTGTAATTCACAAACTTGAAAAGCAAGTAAGTATGTCTTTTTCTTATTAACCAGGCAAAAGGTGACTTTCAATGATATGAAAACTATAAAGTTTGGCACAAGCTTACTTGGTTAAATTTATGATTATGATGAAAAAGTCATTAATTCTTTAAAAAGTCTTCAGGCAAATAAATCTTCAAATTAATACAATCTGCCTATTTTTGTTCAGATGCTAAGTGCCTGAAGGATATGAGAAAAAGAAAGCTCAATCAGCGTTAGGTAATGAAAAAACAAATTATTCCAAAAAAGCCAAAAATCTAAACATGTATGTTTATGTGTTTAAAGCTGGTCAACATTCCTTACAGTCATCATTTAGTGACTTAAAAGCTGCCTTCTGCTTGGGATGACGCAGGAGCGACTTTTCTTTTATTAATAGGTTCAGACATCACGGATGGCATTGCTAATTTGCAAAGCAGGAGGATCAGCTAGATCCCCATCAAGTCTGTGTCGCACAATTACTGCAGTTCACCTGAACAGTTTCTTTTTAATATTTATTTTATTTATTCTACTGAAATACACTGTTGAGGGGAGCAGCAGGCGAGCCAGGAGGGGTCTGCTGTGCCATATGTGGGTTAGCTCCCTGGCCAGGGATCGAACTCAGCCCCCACAGTGTCTGGCGGTAGCTTGATAGTGCTGAGACTTTAACCCCTGGGCCACCAAGGAGGCCCATCACCTGAACAGTTTAAACTCATCCTCTATTAGAATTCAGAATCGGAGGCAGTAATAAAAACTGCCCTCTTAAACAAGAGTCCCTGCTGGGAGGTCAATAATATTGAGAAACCTCGATGGGCTGGGCTTTCCTCCAATTCCTGTGCCCCCAACAGTGGTAGTCCACAAGACTGACACACTATTCACAGGCTTGAAGAATAAAAAGAGATCAATTTTCAAATCAGTTATACCACCTGCTGAATTTTTTTAAAGAATTTTGTGGAGATTTTCTTAATATAGAAAATTAGTCATTTTAAATACTTGGAACTAACTATAACTTTTTGAGGATGAAATATTTAAGTTTTATTCTGTTATCTTTGAATTCTAAATTTTTTTTTTTTGCCCTTAACAGCAAGCACATGAAAAGAAATAGTACTTTTATCTTATCTGTAGATATTCTAAAATAGACAAATGTCAAGGAAAATCTTAATAGCTTGGCATGCAATTTAAATAATCACAGTCCCATTTTACTCACAGGAAGAAACCTGGACAAATAAGAATTAAAATAAAGGAATTTAATCAACACACACACGCACGCACGAGCTCAGTGCTTCTCAGAGCACATATTCATAAATTATTTTACTTAATTTAGTTGTAAAGGAAAAAATGCCTTGAACATAGTAGGTAGTTAATGAGCATGTACTTATTCTAACTTTACAGAAAAATAAACTGCTTAAGACAATTATCTTATAAAAGGAATGTTGGTGATACACAATTTGACGTCTTTCTATATAGGAGGACAATTTTAGCAGAACTGAGAAAAATGAAAGTAGAAAATGCCAATATATTTTTAAAAATTGCATAAATACTCCAAAATGTATATTCGGGAGCCTTTCGGCTAGTATTCTTAATTAATATTAAATAGTCATTCTGAGCTGCAGCGATAGCACAGTTATTTTCTGGAAACAGGAAGAGTAAGGGAATAGCAACCAAATGAGTTGTGTGTGGTTATGAGAAAATTCCTTTTTCTACTTTAGTTGAGTTGTTAAGGTTTATAACGATATTAACAGAGGAATGTTTTGTTAACTATTGCAAACAGATGTGCACATTTGGGTGGAATATTTTAAACTATGGGAGAGCAATTAAGGGGATAACATTTAATCTACTGGAGCCCTCGTGTTAAGGTTTGGTTTGATAAATTTCTAACGAAGTAATATAGGAAAGCTGTGTCATTAATCATTAATGTAAAAATTGAGACTGCCTGAGAGGTCTAAGCTATAACGGGCCTCACAGTTTTGTCTCAGAGGTAAATGCAGTACGTTGCTTCATCCAAATTTTGCAGAAATGACCAGAAACTGTTGTGGAACATTTTACAACAAGCGTTTCATTTTGTCAACCATCAGATGATCTGTGTCAGTTTTTATGAAAGCTGCTATGCAAGGTTGGATGAGTGTATGTAGAATTCCGATTTCTCTAGAGCATTTTTGCAGTTCAAAAATATATTTGAACCTGCTGAAAAGCAAAACATTTATGTGTTGTTCAAGTACTTATAAATATTCTTGAAACAGGTCAATGAAAATTTGGGGTTGGCCCTTCCCACTTTTTTGAGTTACTCATCATAAAACAAATTATGGGGTAGGGAAACTTAAAAGTTTATGAGGTGGACATGGGAAGAATGGAAATATTTTAAGCACACCAAAAGAAATACCCATAAATATTCCAAGTCACATTATTCCCAGAAGTTCTGCCCCTGGAAGACATCACATCATTCTGTCAGCCAATCACCATTCGGCAACATTATTCTTGGAGTCATAACTTTAGGAATGGTGTCAAAAACCAAGTGGGAATCAGAGTATTTAAGGTCAGCGGTTAGAAAATCATCTGTCCTGCTCATAGCACGACTTAGCGCCAGTACCCACATTTTTCTGAACGCTTTCCTACATTTTGAGTTTGGGATTTTGAGACTTGGAAAATCAACTCAATTGAATGCAGACCTTGTGCTTTATAAAAAAAAAAAAAATGTCTATTAGGTTAAAATCCTAATTACCAATACTGAGAATGGGCTTGACTTTCCTTCCATGTTAGATAATAACCTGGAAACTTGCTTGTTTTTGCCATGGTGGTGGTTTGTTTGTTGTTGTTGGTTTAGGGCACCAGCAGGAAAAAAGAAAATACAAAAATGCTTTGAATTTTAATATTTCATGAAAAAAGACCAACAATAACACCAGTGTAGTACCCTCAAATTGGTCAGGTAAATATTTTAAGATTCTATCTAGACTAATGCAAAAAAAAAAAAAAAGATTCAGCAGAGAAACAGAGAAACGCTGATATTTACACAATATGTGTGTGTATCTATAGGCTGAATTATTTCTGCATAATTAGAATAATAGCAAAACAAGGTAATACAAGGACATTGTTTTTTGCCAACAAAAGATAGAATAAACAATGCTGAAAAGTTGTATGTTTTTAATAAAATCAGAATATAAATAATAGTTTAAGATAAAAGTTAACATCGCAGAGGCCAAAATTGCTACATGAATTAAAAAATATACAAAAATGGGATAAAACTAAATAACTGCCTAATATTACAAATAAAAATACATTTTAGAATAATTTCAGGGCTTTTCATAAATTCAGAGATAACTTTATCAAGAGAATTAAGTTTCAAAATTTTGTTTTTTGGTTAGTTTTTTTTAAAAATCTCTACCAAATTATTTTTTTAATGTCTAAAGAATATTTAACATCTAAATGCTTATTTAACTGTTTCCTTGTCTTTTAAATATATTGATTTGATTTAGCTTGATGTTTTTCTCTATAGAGATTTGAAGAATATATATTAATTAAATTTATCCTCTTTCATATTGTTAGAAATAATAAAATTCATTTATTGGATATTATTTAAATTGAGGTAAAAACTCATTCATTTACTTTTTAAAAACAAAACTTTAGGGAGAAGAGATGTGCATAGCTATGGTGTTAGACAAGAGTTATTTTGGTGAGACAGAATAACTTAAATTTCTAAGTAAAAACATGAAAGATCACATAACTATTTACTGCCTTTTCAATTTTCTATTTTAAATTGAATATTCAAATTGAATTACAAATTTAAATTTTAACATTACGGATATACACACGCAGTGTTCTGTTTCTGTATTTTAAACCAAAATGGTTAAGTAAAAAAAACTGGTTGAATCCTGCAATTATTCTGGGTAGGTTCCATTTATTAACTATCCAAAATGTAATACAAATACAAGATATATTTTAAATATTCCTGAGAGAGATTGCAGTTTGTTTTTATTTATTTTTGGAGAATGTGGCAGGTTGCAGTGACTACTTTGGGACCTTTCCAGATTACAGGATATTAATAATAATATGCAGTAGGTGTTAATATCCCTGTGCTGAGGAGATTATTGCAACATAAGAAACACATGTTCATTAAAAAGGGTTTGACTATTTGAGGAATATCATTATGCATTATCAAATAATTCAACTATATTATAGCACCCAAATTCTATTGAGTCAATATTCATTAAAGCACATATATAAAAGTTAAATTAAGCTAAAAGTCCTCTCCATCTTAAGCAAATTTAATATAACAGAACCCACGCGAGAGGTTAATTAGATGTTGGCTCTTCAAATTTGCTTCCCAGATATTTTAAAACATCTGTATATTTGATAGAGCTATAGCTTCTATAGCTTCTATATTTATCTGTGCTTATCAATTTTTACAATGAATCTATTTTGTTTTATAATAAAATAACTACTTCTTTAAAATGAACTTTGTTTTAAAAAATATTCCTTAAGGATCGCATATTCCCTAGTGTAAACTTCAAGAACATTTGCTAGAGAAAGTAAAGCTAAAACTGACAGGTTAGGAGCCATTCATTACTAAAATATAGATTTTTAAAAATCATCAAAATTCAGATTTGAGGAGATGGAATATGATTCAGTTCCATTAGAAAGACAAATATTATAAATCTTTTCTGGCATTGTCAATAACCAGCTAAGGGGCTAGAACCAAATAACAGGAATTTGTACATCTGTTGTTTTATAATTAGTGTTTCAGAAATACCAACTATACAATCACAAACATATTCTATAACAAGGTCCAATTCATGATCAGACGGAGAATCAAACGAAACCCATGTGGGTTTAGTATACAGACTAAACTAACTAGTACACTAACAAAACCCATATATGCAGACTTATGTGTATATATTAAACTTCTATAATGCAAGTGTTTTTTTAACCCATTTAGGTTCATCCAGAAATATAATCTCAGTGTTAAGACACTGGGTTTTTATTCCATGTTCTAATACATACCTGCCTTCCAGCTTCATTGTTATGTAGGTTCATTGCTGACAGTACTTTGCTTTCTTTCCCCGTGGTGTTTCTGACAGGGAAGTCTAGGAACTTCCTGCTGAACCACATACCGTACTGGACATCGTCAGAACAGCCCCCCCAGTGCCAGCCTTCACTCGCTGAGCCGCCATTCTGCAAAGTGGTGTCACAGGAGCACTCTGTCATGTTACCTGCGCTGCAGGACCTGGTCACAGAATGCACCAGGCTTGCGGCCATGACTGCATAAATAAATGCCGTTTCCTTGGTGCCTAGAATAAAACACAAACTGCTAAGTGAAAGAACCACACGTATCTGTTTATGTTCATAATAAAGCCTCCTGCTTACCCTCTAATCAGAAAAGTAATTTTTCAATTCCTATGGATAGTTTAGTGAGCACATATTTAGAAAGGACAACTTCTTATTTAAATATTTTAAAGAAGGGCTTCCCAGGTGGCGCAGGGGTTAAGTCTCAACACTATCAAGCTATCGCCAGCCACTGCAGTGTGTGTTCTTGAGGCATGAGTTCGATCCCCTGCCAGGGAGCTAACACACATGGCTCAGCAGAGCTCTCCCGTCTTGCCCACTGCTCCCCTCAGCAGTGTATTTCAGTAGATCTGCCTGTTCTCTCCCAGCTCTGTCTCTGGTGAATCCTCTCTCCCCTACCCCCCACCACCCTCTGGCCTATACCCCAGTTCTTGTATAAGTAAAATATTAAATATTTTAAAGAAGCAACATTGTCAGTATCCCACTCCACTTGAGGGGATTTTCATATATTGCAGTCATAAATTGTCCACAAAGTTAAATCATGTTTATTTATAAAATCTGAAATGTATGTCAGCACCTAACTTCGTATAACTTCTTAATAAATAAGAAAAGCCCAATAAATTCAAGTTCAATTTAAAATCCTTTGCATGGATACTCTAAATGGTAACACAACACCCGAGGGAATTCAGATTACCTTTCTTTTTAAGTTGAAAATGTGTTCTCACAAAATGCAAGCTGAAAATTTGGTGTGTCTTAAATAATACACATCAGAATGCAAACTTAAATTAAGCAACGACCAAAGCAATTAATAGATCCTTATTAGTTTACTTTCACATCAGACTTTTTTTTTTTTAACCATACTGTGAATACCAACCTAGCTATAAACATGAAATAGTTAAATACTTTATATAGTCCCGGCTAATCCTCTTATAGTCTTAAAGGCAATGAAAGATAACTAAAATGTCTAGCGGGGGGAAAAAAATGCTATTGAATAGGTATTTAGCACACCTAGAGAAGAGTTTAAGCTAAGACCTGTCAAGAATTAAAGTCCCATTAAAACATAAATAAAATGAAGTAGTAGGGACTCAGCAAGAAGACTTCCTCTCACCCCACCCTCGAGTTGTTTAGATTGGAATAGAAATAGGTTCACACCCGTTGTCCAATAAACCTTTTCAAGAGCTGATGCCTCTGCACTTCAGCAACAGTAAAGGGCTCTCCCCCCGCCACCCCCCACCCCGCAGGAGGTCAGGGCTCGGCTGGCACGCTGGGCGGGCCAAGGCGCAGCAGGGCAAACGCGCTGCTTTGGCGGGGGGTTTATAGGGACCCCAACCCATGCGGGTAAAGGTCAAAGGTGGAGGGAGAAGGGCTGTGAACGTGGAAAACAACGAATCTTTCAGTGCCCCGATCCAGAAATTTTCTGAATCTGCTCATAAGCTTGCAATAGTTGATTCCCGGCACCTTTATCTCTTCCAAGTGAAGAGACAGTAGGACTTTGTTTTATGCCTCTTCCCGCGCCGCGAGGGAGCCAAGAGCGCAGGGGTAGGAAGAAAGAATAGTGCACAGAGGAGAGCGTCAAATTATGGGGTGCTCAGGTTCGTGGCACTTGGGCTTGTCTAGGACCACCCTTGAAAATCATTTTTCTGTCTCCCCGCTGCTCCGAGGGTCCCACCAACGCGGGGCTTGGTTGCAACCAGCCACTTGTCCAGGGCGCGGTGCGCAGCGGAGCCGCTTAAATCAAAGCAGATGAGGCAGCAGCATTCCCTGCCGCCGACATCATGTTTCTCCAGCTGGTCACCCACGTAGGGGGGCGCTACGGGAGCCTAGGGGTCGGCGGGGTGGAGTGTCAGAGTTTTTCTTCCAACTCCGACCCGGCGCTGCGTGAAGGAGGAAGAGCCACAGCCCCGAGCGCTGCGCGCTGCACTTGGGGAGCCACCCCACTCCGGGGCCGCACCTGCACCCTGGGTCTCGAGTCGCTCCCAGTGCCCGTCCTCTGCAGGACCTCTCGTGGACTGAGGGAGCGTGGATTTACAGTCGCCCTTCGTCCCACGCCTGCACCCGAGCGTCCCGGGACTCACCGCTGCTCAGCTCGTTGCCAAAGAGGGAGCTGGTGCCCGGCTGCGCGGCAGCGGCCACGGCGCAGTTCCAGCGCTCGTGTCTGAACTGGCTCCTGCACTCGTGGATGCCCAGCCGGGCGCCCTCGCGGATGCTGGGCAGCAGGTACGGTTTCCTCTTGCACAGCTCCTTCTGGCGGCTGTTCAGCGGCAAGTTGGCGCAGCCTAGCTTCTCCGGAACCCCAAAGGAGGCGATGCCCAACCACCTGTAAGACACCGCTGCGCCTAGAGTAAACCGTAAACCGCTCCCCGGCTCTCGTCCCCAGTCCCAGGTGTTTCCCCCAAGTTTGATCACCCGCCCCAGGGTCCCTGGTCCGCGTCTCCTGCCTCGGCTGAAAGATCCTAGGGGCTGGGCACCCCTCTCGGCCCCTCCCCGGAGCACCCCTGCCGGCTCCATACTCACATCCAGTTTCCTTGGGATCCGCAGGGGAACAGCGCGAGCAGGGCTGCCCACAGAGCGCACAGGCGGGACAGTCCCAGGAGAGCCGCTCTGTCCATGGCCCCCGCATGGAGTCCCCCAGCCCCAGCCACTTACGCCTCTTCTGCCCTCCCGGTGCAAAGGCCGCCGGGCCAGAGGTCAGTTCTCCAGCACCAAATTATCCCTCGCCCTCTTTCTCCCTGCGGGCAGCATAAAAAGACGGCCCGCAGTGATAGGGGCTCTCAGCAGCCGCCCCTCGGCTTGCAGGGGACGTGAAGAGGTGGAGAAAGCAGCTCGGAGCCCCGGGCCCGCCCGGAACTGGAGATGCGCAGTTGATGCACGAGCGTCCCCCGCTTTCCAAGGTGAGAAACTTATGTTGATGTCGCTCGGTCTCCATCGCCCCGGATCTCTCCTCCCCTCCGGCCGCGGCTGGAACCTGATTGGCCCAGCCGCACCCCGCATCGCATCATCCTGGGATCTCGGGTTCCCATTGGCTGAGAGGGGGATCGGGGGCGCGGGGGCGCGGGGGGCTGCAGATCCCGGACCGCGGGACCAGACTCTGGGGTGTTGGTGATCTTTTCCTCACGTCTCAGTGTCCCGAGAACGAGTCTTTCTTTGCAGAATGTCTTTGCAGAAGTGCTGCTTCCACCCCAAGTCTGATAGGGGCGCTGGGTCTTAGCAGCCCTGGAGGGAGGCGAGCGCTGCGAGGCAGATGTTTGAGTTTCGCTCACCCAGGTCACACTTGGGTGAATTACCCTCTGGGTGGAGTGCCTGGAAAATCCCACTGCCCGGGTTTCTTCCCTATCCTTCCTCATCACAGGAGAAGAATCTTTTTGAGTCAGAACTGGTACCAAGCAAGGTGACATTTCAGCACCCTGGTTGCGGTCTCCACGCCTCAGGAGGCTTCAGAAGGGAGGCGAGGCGGTGCACCTCCTCCTGAAGGCAGACTTTCCCTTTAGCGAAAGGGGAGCGTCCAGTCTAGTATCTAATTTACCATATTTAAGTTCTTTTTCTCGGTTTATCTTATTTTCCCCCCCTGAAGTCCTTGAGAACACTGTCAGGAGATGGAGGAAGAGAAAGAACTTGTGTGTGTGTGTGAGCTGTTTGGGGAGGTCTAGAATAGTGAAGTCTGTACCCTTATTCTTCCATCCAGTCCAATTTATGGCTCTCATGGAGACTTTGGACAGGGTCGTCTTAAAAAGATATTTAAACACATTTATTAAACGCCTATTGTGTGATTTTTCCTTCCCTCACGTGCATCAGGCAGCCATAGGAAGAAGAGTAAAATGAAATAATTTGAGATTTCAGCAAAGAAGAATATAGAATTCAGTCAAGTGTCCTTTGGAGCCGAAGAGAGAAGCAGAAGGATATTATGGTGCCTGGCAGCTTAGGGAAGTTAGTTATCTACTTTTTTCCCCCCTCAGGATATTTCTCTGGGAGATAAATGGAACAGGCTTAGCTGTGGTATTAGAAAACCCTGCCCCATCCAGTTGGTGACAGGAATTGTTTACAAAGGCATCATCTGCTCTTAGAGGACTTCTGGAATGTTATTGAATTCTCAGGGTGGACATCCCAGTTTAGTGGGTGGCAAAGTCCAGACTTACTCAAATAAAAGATTTGCTTTGCTTCTTTGATCCTCAAAGAATGGAGGTTATTGCTCCATCTCCTCATATAGCCCAGAGCAATAAAAATTCACTGAAATTCCCATCCTATTCCAATGATTCCTTTATCCAACAAGTATTTATTGACTGAACACTATGTACCAGATCTTAAACCCACATTGTAATTTCTAGAGAGTCAAGTTGATGACAGGGTGTAGTTACTGATCCAGAACTATTTAGGCTAATGGCTAGTGAGCTTTCTGAAAATCAGAGCCTTCATCTGAAGTCACTTTATCCTGTGAGTCTCTCCAGGAGGGATGCTGGTGCTGTGCTTCCCACACTGGGCCCAGGTCAGGAGATCTGGTTTTAAACACAATATATTGAGTGGGTTAGCATGGTGAGGAACAGCCCTGAAGATACCTAAGTGAACTAAATGATGAAACCAGAGAAGTGGCTTAATTTTAAAGGGAAGGGGAGGGCAGAGCCATCTCAGAAGTGAGGGAGTGGAGAATAAAAGCAGGCTGGCTTTAGGGCCAACAGTTGAAGAGGTTTTAAGGAAGTTGTGGAAATTTTCATTTCAAAATATCCATTCAGTTGCTATTGTAGGTCAAAAAGTGGAGCCAGAACTGATCCAGATGGTAGTGGGGTTCAGAGTTTCATTGGCAAGACTGACAAGTGAATGGGAAACCACAGTGGAGCTTAATAAATGAGGGAGTTACAGTGTGCCTTGAACACACATAGGAGGCTTGCTTAATCTAGATTGGGAGTAGGAGGTTACTTGACTGTTGTCATTTTTATGACTCTAGGATCCAGCACTGCCCAAGCATCCAGATACAGCCTTTGGAGGAGCACTCAGAGTGTTTTATTCTTAAAAGTCTAAGATCACTGGGTCAATCATTTTCTAATGCCAGACACAATTTCAGGGCTAAATGGTCCTATACCCTTTTTGTAGAGTTGGGGCCTTGGGGGTCATTCTGTCCATACCTCTAACGCAGAGTGGATTTCAACCAGGAGTCAACCCAGCTGAAGAAACAGGCTTTCCTTTCAATGGGCAGACATTTGAGTGCTTGTTTTCCATTAGGCGTTGTGCACTCTTGCACCGAGGGCTTCCCGCGTGCCATGTTCTCCATCTTCCTCTCTATCTCTCCCGTCATTTTCTTCTCACTTTCTTTCTCCATGCAAAATTTCCAATCCTGCAAAATTATCATTTTATAGATAAGAACATGTGTTTGAAGAGTTTAAGAAACTTGCTCAAGGCCACTTAGCTACTGAGAGGTAGAGTCAAAAATCAATCCTTAAAGGATTTTCTATTGTTACTATTTTTTGTATTTATTATTATTGTTGTTGTTGTTGTTGTTATTGACTTTATATTGTTATTATTTTTTCCCCTGATGTCTTATTTGGTACCCCTATGATTCTTCTATAAGTGAAACCATCCGATATTTTTCTTTTTCCTTTTGACTTATTTCACTAAACATAATTCCTTCTAAACATAGCTCCATCCATGTTGCTGTGAATGGCATGAGTTTTTCTTCAAGGCCTTGTTTATTATACCCCAATGAATGGCTGCATCACCTCTTTTTTTTCCCCCCTCTGACCAAATCCTTATCGCTGAGCCTCAGGGCCTAAATTTCTCTCCTGTGCCCCATTGTTCTTTACAACAGAGTATCTCCATCCAAACAACGCTGTTTTCTGAAGATAAACAAGTCCTCCAATGGGAGAGCTCCATGAAGTGGTTCTTTTGGAGGCAGACTGTGATCAGCGTGGACACACTTCATTCCTTTTCTTTGCCTTCTGGTTCTGTGGACAGGCAGGAGCAGTGAGGGAGCTCTGGGTGGAGGTGGCTCATAGAGACTCCTGTCAGCAGCTTGTAATCTGGGCTAATTCATTTCAAAGTTGAACCTCTGATTCCTCTCTTGCAAAATTATCAAAACCTGTACTTCAGATCTGAATCTCTTAATGGAGCTGTCATAGGGCTGAAGGGAGGGAGGTGGTATGGTTGTGTGTGTGAGTGTGTGTGTGTGTGTGTTACTGGATGACTCATTTGCTGGTGACATTGCAGCCTAGCGGGGGGAACCCTGGTTGTTGATAAGGTCTTGTCTACCTGAGAGAGGGGGCCAGTGAGGGCACTAGTTAGTTCTTTTCATCCCATTTTATATCTTCAGTTTCACTTTGTTTCTGGGTTTCAATTTAAAAGAATTATTTGCAGACATCTTTTCAATTGATTGAATTTTGGAGTCTATAATGATCTTATCAACTGTTATACATTTTTATTTAGAGGGAAAAGGGAGAAGTAATAGATATTTTATTTATCCTGGAATATACAAGTGAGGCACTCTTTCAGAATCTAATTTCTCTCTCTTAATATGAAGTGTTCACCTCCACTATCATTAATGGGGATTATCCACCCTACATCGAGTTAAGGAATAAAATAAATGAGGGGTCAGTTCCAAACATACACAAGCTACACATTTCAAATTGTTTATTTCTTCAGCAGCAAACACGAGTCTCATTTCCAATATATTTTAGGTTTTGTAAGTTGGAGAGAGGACAAAATATTAATTGGCCATAGAATATGACCTGGTGCTCACTGTGTTATACAAACTTTCTAAACTTCAGGTGCCCAAATCTATAAAATGTTACAAAGACCATATAATTAATTGTTCATAAAATAGAAGCTGGTATTATGTTATCTTGTGATGTGAGCCCAGCTACCTAAAATTTGACTGGTGCTGTTACGAAAAGCATCGTGTCTTCAAGTTCACGCAGGTGATTGAAGCATCTGCAGCTTCTTGATCCCACAAGGAGAGCAAATCTGTATTGTTTTCCCAGCAGGGGGAAGGTGTTCCAAGCTGTGTTCTGGGAAAAAGGATTTAGGAGGGGGGAGCCAGATTTCAAGCATATTTATTTCCTTCTAAAGAATTCTCTGGAGGACCAAATCTGTGACTATGGTCATCTCTGACCAACTGGGCCAACAGAACTAGAGAAATGGTCTGCCAGCAATAAATCCCACCTCCCACCCGGAACAATCATAGATTATTAACAGTAGAACCCAGGGGAGCTTGTTGCTTCTGGTAATTTTCTCTCAGTCCCTGGGAAACTCAGCAAAAAGTCTGCCTGCACAGATATGCCTTGGCCTCTGCCTCTGGCAATCCATCAGAGGACGAGACTTCTAAGGGCCCTGTTGTAAGAATTTCTGCTGCAGATCACAGAGACTTATGTACTGGAAACTGATACCAGAAGCACCCCAGCTGGTCTTAACTCCCATGATAGAACAGAAGAACAGAGGTGACTTTTTACATAACTGGGTTCCTATCTATTCTATTTTAAATTCCACCTGGATGCTATCAGCCTGGAACAGAGCACTGGCTTAAGATTGCTGGCTCCTGACATGGACTGAGAATGGTATTCTGGATGTCCTGCTGACCTTTGGTAGCCCAAAAAGCCCATAAAAATGACACACTTGCAGCAGTAGAGGAATCATCAATGACAGGACCAGGAAAAAGAGCAGGATTTGGAAAAGGATGCTATCCTGCTTTTAAAGACCAAAGTGATTTTT